CGGCATTCTTCTCGAAAGCTACTCCTAAACCCTAAACCCTATACCCTAAACCCTATACCCTAAACCCTAAACCCTAAACCCTATACCCTATAGCCTAAACCCTAAACCGTGTACTACTCAGGAGCCCTTAACTGCACTTACTCATAGCAGCGCAGGGCTGTGCTGTCTCTTCCCACCCGCGATCGCGCTTGCAGATCACTTCTTACCGCCTGCTATTCGCGCGAAGCTTTTGCACGATAACAATGAATACTAGCTATTATCAAACATATAGTAGCCAGCCCATTCTTATACTGCTCTGAGGCCAGCACCCTCTCCAGAAATGGTCGCGGCAGAGAAGAGATCAGGCATGCACAGCTGCTCCATCGTCGACCCGGCAGAGCCCGAGTGGAGCCATGGTGGTGGGTCGAATGTCCAGATGGTCTCGCCTGGGGTTTCGGGTTTAGGGTTTAGGGGTGTGCGAAAGGACGGCGCCTGACGAAAAGACTTACCCTTGGTTAGTAGGGAATGGAAGGATGGTAGTAATAGCAATTATAATTTTACCCCATTCAGCCATTCCCTACTAACCAAAGGTAAGAAGACGGGTATAGGACGGTGTGGGGTGTAGAGCCTAAGGAAAGTTTAGGGTTTAGGACTGTTGACATGTGAAGGACCTCATACTCCTGCAGTTACTGCAGTCACTATGATATTTGCGGTGTGACGTGAGAACTGCGGGCTGGTTGAAGCTTGCACTTACACAACTACTAGTTTACATCACTTGCTTATTGATTTGGCTCTTCCAGGGCCTGTCACAGCGTCCACAGCCATCACAGTGCCTGTGATCAAGGCCGGGTCCGGCGTTGGAACGCCGGTGGGCTCACCGATGCCTGATTGAACGGTGGCGCACTCGACGATTGCAGGATTAGGCTAAACGCTGAGCCCCCAAACCGCACAATCATCTTATCAATCGTACTCGTAACTACCCAGCTCTGTTCCCTAAAATTAAATGCACGAAGCCCTTGAGCCCACAATCCCTGCGCACTAGAGTTAAAGTCAGCAAATCCTAAAAACTCAAGGCCTTGATGATTTGAGCCACAAGCTTAGACTCCATTAGACCTTATGAAAACGTTAAGCAAAACCACGAACCCTCCCTCAAGCTCCAACACCCTCAACCTCAAACCCTAAACCTACAACTTCCAAGATGCCAGCGACAACTCCAACCTTCCTCGGCTAGAATTTCGAGCTTGTGAGCTGAGAAGCATGTTGGGGTCCAGGGTTAAGGTTGGATGTTCATGAAGTCACAGGTCCGAGAGTTGAAGTTTGAGAGAGTGGCTCCAAAAGCAGAAACGGCATTCTAACAAAAGTGCAGCTTCAGCGAACCCCATAACCGCCCCACCGCCGGAGCATTGTGGATGGCTCTGGGGACATCGATCCTGGGATTGCACATGTAGAAGAGGCAAGTTCAAGCAGTTTCAGAAGCGCCCCGCCACAAAGCAGAATTTCGCACAAGGGGTTCGTACCGGGGGCGAGCGACAAGTTTTAGGGTGTCTGTTGTTTCGGAGGAACCTAGGATGGGCATGCGAGCATGCGAAGGGCCTTGACTGCTTGCCACTAATATGCGGCGAATCCGGAACGGCACGAACCGCAATATCTGATGCCAAAAAATCCTAAGCCCTACAGCCGAGGCCACTCAGTTGGAACATCATAATCCTCATGCCCTGAAAACCTTGATGAAAGTCAGGTATAAGGAACCGCTGCACTAGTCATCCTAGTTCCATTTTTCAACCTGCTGGGGCGCACTAAATGCCTAAACAGGCCAAGTCATCAGACCACAAGCACTTCCGATGGCCAGCGTCATGGCTACGTGAAGGATTCGGCACAAGACACATATAAGAAGCCCAAGCCATGTGCAAAGGCTAGCAGCTAGCAATGTAACATAACAGCGGCATGATGCTGTCAGTGGGGAACGGACAAGCCTTCGAGATTCGCTGCTTTGCTTTACAAAAATTCCATTCAACAAAGATGTCGGTCGTGTCATCTTCATTGAGCATCGCGAGACCATGCGTAGGGCAGATGCCTTTGCATCGCCAGCGGGTGTCTTAGGTTCGCAAGATGGCTGTCGTCGTAGAATTGCGAAACTTTGTGAGATAAAGGCCTCCCATATGTGACGGGGCGAACGAATCAAGCCCACTCGCGCTTTCGCAGGCAAACCAACTGTGTTGTTGGTGTGCTTTGGATTGCTGCTGCTTACGATATGCCGAAGCACAGGATTCAGATTGCTGACAGGTCTGACATGCGAGTGAGTTGTCGCATTACATTAATAAAAAGAAGCTGCTGGCTCCAATATCCCAACCTCTTCTTGTGCAAATTGGCCATAAAGAATGCGGGCTTTACGGATTTAAGGCTCAATAGGTTTGCCTGAAACGCCTGTAAAACCTAGGGTAACTTATTGAGAAGATAATCATTTGTCTGCACAAAGGTGAGGTCACTCATACCTTGAACCCCTCTCCCAAAACAACTAACCCAAATGAGCTTGCGGATACAGCTGAGTCTAAGGTTGGGGTGAAAAGTGGTCCGCAGACTTGGCATGAATGAGATGTGTGGCGATGGATCTTTCTTCGGACTATGGGTAGTTTGTGTAAATTAGGGTCCCTTTCAGGGTCTTTGTTTTAATATCAGGGTGCCGTACTACCTTGGGGACCTAAAAAAAGAAACCAAACTTTTGGAGAACCACCCTTCTCGAACCCTTGTGGAAGCCCTATAGAACCCTTTGTAGATACCTTTAAGGATCTCTACAACCCCCCTGAGGGTACATGTACCCAAATAGTATATACTTTGGGCCCAATGTACCCATATAGGGAGTACTTTAAGGCCAATGTATATGTTATTTTAGGTACATGGACCCTTAAACCCTTAACCCTAAACCCTTATGATACCCTTTATAGACTCCTTAAAGAAACCCTTAAAGTAACCCTTAAAGAAACCCTTAAAGGTACATGGACCCTTAGGGCAAAAGGGGGCCCTGAGTTAGAGAACGATTCAGTTGCAAACTTAGGGTTTAGGGTTTAGGGTTTAGGGTTTATTGTTTAGGGTTTAGGGGCTCTGTTCCCAGAGTCCTGAGGCCTCCAAACGTCAAAACAATGGGATGCAAAGCCCCAAGTCCGTTCCCTGAAGCACCCTCCGAAACACTACCAGAACATACAAAAACCTAGTGTTTCGGTATTATACCGTATGTTTAAGGGGTTCATAACCCACTATTTGTAGGGTCTGGAGCTACAGGGAAGGCTCGAAGCCTTCAACTGCAAACAAGCCCCAAACGTCTTGTATGGTTTTGCGGCTGTGGGATTTCGGAAGCAGTACGTGCATCAGAAATCCAAAACCCTAAACGCTAAACCGTAGGGCTTTACGTTCCAGGGTTTAGGGTTTCAGGGTTCGGGGCATGGGTTGAGGTGCCAAGAAGAGTTGCAGAGTTACCTTAAACCCTAAGTAACCTACCTTTTTAGGGTTTCTTGTTCTGATTTCCTTATACAAGTCCTTAAAAAAGTATGTCCTTCAGGGTTAAGGTAACGTCCTTCAGGGTTAAGGTAACAGTTGAAGTTTAGGGTCATCCGCAATCCCCAAAACCTGACACAACCATCAAAGCAACCCCAGCTGAAAGCAGACCAGAAGCGCCCAAACTCGCTCCCCCGTGGCTGCAGACAGTGCCTGAAGCCCGCCCGTTGCATTCTCCTTGCAGTTCCGATCGATGTCGGGTTATGGTTTACGGTTAGAACTTACTTGGAGGTTCATGGGACTTAAGAACCAGGGTTATAATAAGGTAACTATACTAATAATTACTTGTAACCCCAGTTAAGGTACTTATAGCCTTACTTACTAAGTCCCATGATCCCCCAGGTATGGGCTAGGGTTGAGGGCTTGAGGCTGCGAGATTTTTTTGCTCGTGTGTGCATGCTGACACGTTTCAAAGAAGATGACAAGACAGATGCCTAAGTGCAGCACATGTATTGTATGTACAGGATCTGTAGGTATATACGCACACATAATACATTCGCTGTCGGGTGTGTGTGTGTGTGTGTGTGCGTCACTACTTGTATATGCGTGTCCATTACATATACATGTACATATGCATGTTGTATGTATGTATGTATGTATGTATGCATGTACGTATGTATGTGCATGTACGTATGTGTGGCTATATGTGTATATATATGTATATATATATATATATATATATATATATATATATATGTTTTATGCACAACGTCAACACATGAATAATTAGACCGTGTACTCCTGCGTGCAGCGTCTAACTATCTATCTATCTAAATGCCGCTGTGCGTTATGTTCGGCCGAGCAAGACAATGCAGAATTAGGGTGGGCTTCAACATACAGCGCACTTAGGGTTTCTCGCTCGGAATTTTACCCATGATATCTCGCGCCCAAGTGCAGGCTTTTGAAAACAAAGTGTCCCGCATTGGGAGCATGTGTGGTCTTGGCCTGTAGACCCCAAGCCATACTCTTATACATAAAGCTGCAAATCGTGCAACAACGGAAGCTAGATCAAGATAACACATGGCAGCAGCACAAAAATCCAGCGCGGATGCAAGCCTCAACGACAGCCTTCCGAGGACCACTAAACCTAAAGAATGCAGAACACAAGATTCAACACACTCCCTCGGTGTACACTTTACTTTACATTGTACAGTCGAACCCGATATAGTAAAATGCAGCATATCACAACACAGCATCACAGAGTTCGATACAATTCTAACAATATAACAAAGTCTAGAACACAACATGACATGGCATAACACAGCATAGTGCGACATAATGACATATAATAAGAAATAGTAGGATAAGATATGATTTAATGTAACGTGACATAGTATATTACAACCTGACATATTTCAAGAATATTAGCAACATACCGTGATATAAAAGCTTACTACAATGTATGACAATGTCATAGGAGTCCTTGGAAAAGCCATTAAAGACCATGCCCTCTGCGCATGCCACGCCACCTGGGCGGTGCATGTGTTGAGGTTCGAGGTTTAGGCTTACCCAAAGGCTCCATGTAGCTTTATAGTAGACACTTAAGCCTTACAGGGGTCCCTACATAGGTACTTTAAGGCCTAAGTATATAGTCTATGGGTGCATGGAGCCTTAGGGTTGCGGGGTTTCCAGAGAAGGCTTTGAGTTTGGGATGGAAACTCATATGTAAAGGATCATGGGACTTAGTAACTAGGGTTTGAGGCTCCTTTTTAAGAGTATATACTGGGGTTCCCTTTAAGGTTTTAGAGTTCAGGGTCTACTTGAAGGGTCATGGGATTTAGTATATAGGGTTATACATAGGGTACCCATACTTATAAGTACTTATAACCCCAATTAAGGTACCCCAATTAAGGTACTTATAACCTGACTTACTAAGTCTCATGATCCTCTAAGTAGTCATGTAAGTGTGAAGTGTCCGGGTAGGGCCAAGGGTTGAGTTGGGTGTACCGATAGAGCCAGCATACACCCTATATCTCCATGTAACCATGTAGTATATACTTAGGCCTTAAAGTACCTATGTACGGACCCCTTGAAGGCTTAAGTATCTACTATAAAGGTACATGGAGCCTGTGGGACAGTGCAACCGGAAGCACCCAAGATGCTAAAAAAAGGTTCCAACCTCACAGCCTCGACGTTCTGGGACTCAAATAGGCGCTTCAGGAAACAAGGGACCCCTGTATTTTCGAAAATTAGGTCCTTACAATAAGGATCCTACTATTTAGGGTACTATATTAGGGTCCCCTACTTTCGGAAACTCCCAAATAGGCGCTTCAGGAAACAAGGGACCCCGACAGACACCCCCAAGGAGTCGAGACCTCATGACAAAGACTCCTAGGCAAGAGATCCTCAATTCTGAACAGCCCCTCCCCCCCGGCCCCCAATCAGTTCAACCGTAAAATCACAGGCCCTAAACCCTTAACCCTAAACCCGAAACTTGCCCTGAATCCCAAACCCCAAACACTAAACGACCCTAACTCAGTTGGGCCCAGGCACCCAAGGTGAAGGTACCAGGACTCAGCCCAGGCACCCTCCAGATCTCCGAGCCGTCCTCTGAGATTTGCTCGGATCTCTCTCTCTCTCTCTCTCGTTCCTTTTTCTTGTCTCTTTTCATATTTGTTGCTTTGCTTCTCTCTCTGTCTCTCTATCTGTTTATGCCTATATTTGTGTGCATGTGTTATTTGTCTATACATACTAGACAGACGCGCATGCTCTGCACGCACATCGCATCCCTGCGATGCCTCTGAGTACTAAAAGAGGAGGCATTGCTCTTATGAAGGGTTCATGGAAAATACCTCAACCTGTTGATCTGTGTGATTGTGACCTATAGGGGTATCAAAAGCCGGGAGCCCTTGCGTGCTAGCTTTGCTGGCTTGCTTGGCCTCTGGAGGCCCAGGCTTAGCCCAGCCCATCCACCCGCTGCAGATCCCCCCCCCTCTCTCTCTCTCTCTCTCTCTCTCTCTCTCTCTCTCTCTCTCTCTCTCTCTCTCTCTCTCTCTCTCTCTCTCTGTCTCTCGGTAATATACATATACACACAAATGCGTGTAAGTAGTTTCAACAAGTACATGTGCAAGCATCAGCGTCTTTTCTTTGGTTGTTCCGTTTTACAGGAGGTATAAGTATAGAAGTAGGTATATGCATACAAGCATGTACAGTGTATACTTACGCATATATGCAATTCCTATATATGTGTATTTTTGTATACAAGCCCAACTATGCAAGACACGTTACTGTAAATGTACGTGCATGTAAAAACATATTAAATACAAAAAGCAAGCTAGTAACAAGTATATGTTTATATATATATATATATAAATATAAATACAAATATGTTTATATATATATATATGTATACACTTACAAACATGTGTGTATGTGTATATATATATATATACACATGTATACAAACGTGGTATGCATGCTATGTAGGTATATATCTACATATATATATATATATATATATATGTCTATCTATCGATCTATCTATCTATCTACACACATACACACACACGGTTTATACGTATATGCTCATATCCGTATGTATCTAAATGTATATCAAAATATTATAATTTCTGTGTGTGTGTGTGTGCGCGCTTGTGCTTGTCTACAAATTTTAGTCACCCTACACAGAGAGAGATAGATCAATGCTGTTGAAGCCATTAAGGGCTTCAGGGGTTGAGGTTTGTTCGGCGGCTGTACTGTGGGGGCCTCAACAATTAGACCAGGGGTTTGGGCTATGTTAGACTGGCACAGGTGGTAGACTAGCATTCCTGAAGCTTCAACTATCGAGCACCCGAAAGAACAGAACGAAAACAGAGTCCATCAATAATAAACCCGGCCCGATGCATCAGCCCTATAGACCCCAAAACCAGCACTGGTGTCCTTCAGGCTGAGCCGATAGATGCCCCCACTCGTATCACTGACGATGATGGAATCCTCAGATTAAGGGACGACCCGAAAGCTGCGAGGATTGAGGGTCTTGCTCTTTGAGCATCTCGGGTTTCAAGGACTTAAGAGTTCAGCTCTACAAGATGCTTCAAGGGTCCAGAGTGGGGTATACGTTCTCTTTCACCTTGTACTGGGGGTTGACTTGATTCTGAAAGGCATTGCCCACATGTTCGGGTTAGCTTTAAATTTTAACTCGCCCGGCCTTCATAGAAAATTGGTCCGAGAACAAGCGCTAAAAACCCTGCATGCCTGCGTAGAGAAGAATGCGTACCTCATGAGCCATGGAAAGACACGAGACATTGATGACAATGCATCCCAACTCCATGGAATCTATAGTACATGGCAAAGCGGTTAAGACTCCGAACCCCATTTTCGGGGCCGGACATTTTTCAACAAGCTTCTTCAGAAAGGGGTTGATGACTGCTCTACAGTTGTAACTTTTTGAATAGGCACTCCGAAAGGTTCGTCCATGAGGAGTCAGGCCAAGTCGCGTCGAGCAGGCAGGGTGCCATGTTGATCGTAAAGGCAAGCCCGCCAGTTTTCTCACTCATGTTGTAGGTCCACCTGGCTTTAGGCAGCATCGTGTGTGATGTTGTGAGGCTCACAAGTAGCAGAGGCGCCTCCGGCCATTTATTAGGGACCAACGAAATGCACCGCTCAAGAAATCGAAGACGACGACCACAACAACAACAACAACCACACCAACAACTACTACTACCACAGCTGCAGCTGCAGCTACAGCTACAGCTTCAGCTACTGCTCCTACTCCTACTCATGCTCCTGCTCTTGCTCCTCTTCCTCCTCCTCCTCCTACTCCTGCTCCTACTCCTGCTCCTGCTCCTACTCCTACTCCTACAACTACGACTACGACTACGACTACCACGACTACTACGCCTACTACTACTACTACTACGACGACGAAAACTACTACCACAACTACTACTACTACTTCTACTTCTACTTCTACTTCTACTTCTACTTCTACTTCTACTTCTACGTCTACTTCTACTTCTACTTCTACTACTACTACCACTACTACTACTACTACTACTATTACTACTACTACTACTACTACTACTACTACTACTACTACTACTACTACTACTACTACTGTTACTACTACTACTGTTACTACTACTACTGTTACTACTACTACTGTTACTACTACTACTGTTACTACTACTACTACTACTACTACTACTACTACTACTGCTACTACTACTACTACTACTACTACTACTACTACTACTACTACTACTGTTATTATTATTACTACTACTACTACCACTACTACCACTACTACTACTACTACTACTACTACTACTACTACTACTACTACTACTACCACTACTACCACTACTACCACCACTACCACCACTACCACAGCTACCACAACCACCACTACTACTACCACTGCTGCTGCCGCTACTGCTACTACTACTAGTCCTTAGTACTACTACGACGATGACCACGACAAGTGGCACTGCTTTACACACGCATTTATGACTTCGTCCTAAATGCACTGTACCGAAACCCTTACTAGTATTACCAACCATCATGAGTAGCCATGCCGTGCTGCTCAAGAGAAACTACTAGGGGGGCCTTAATCATTAGAATAGGGTTTTGCGGTCCATAAAACTATAATTTTCAAAAGGACCCCCCCCAAAAATGGTATACGTAATTCTTAAGGCCCCTATAGTACAGGGACATCGGGAAATCACTCGACTGGTGGTCGTCACGGGCCTGACGTGTCCGTCAGCACGTTCCAGCACAGCCACTCCCCAGGATCCGCCGAATTCGATTCCGCAGTCCTTGACGACTACTATTTGCTTAAGAAACCCCCAAAAAATAAAAATAATAATCCCTATATTACCCCCATAAGGAATATATTTTTTATTTTTTGGTGGTTCTTACGCAAATAGTCGACGACCAAGACACTCCAAAAACGAGTCCCTTACGGTGTAGGGTTTGCTTACGGTTGACGAGTTCCGGAATCTTCAAACCTCCAGTCCGACAATAACCTCAAATCTTTTCAGACCCACAGCCCCACTGAAAAAGGCTCCAACTTTAAGGGTTCCTTTAAGGCTCCTTTAAGGGTTCCTATAAGGTTCCTTTAACAATACTCCAAGAAAGAGTCCAAAATCAAAACTGTGTGTCTATGAAAGACAAGGCGGTAAGAACACAATATCAATATCTGGTCAATGTGAACCGGCTCACTGGCAAACTACATGCCCCTGTCCCCGAAAAAGAAGCCCACTCATGGAGATACCGGAGCTTGCAGATAGCCTCCCTCCTAAACCCCGGTCCAGCATATGGGTGGTTGTCAAAATTATGGTCCGTTTTTGGGCACCCTAAATATGAGGTGCCGTACTATATTAGGGACCCAAAAAGGGACCATCATTTTGACAACCCCTCATATGTTTCGCCAGAAGGACTTACAAAACCGAACAGAACCCTTATGACATCCTTTCAAAAACTCTCTTGAACCCTCGAGCACCCCACCTTATCCCTAAGAGCCCTGCTGCAACCCCTCGAACCTGAGGGGATTTAGCCAGTTCAGGCTCCGGAGCCCGCCTAGTAGCATCCGGTCTGGGGTATGCTATAGTATGCTTATGCCAGGGACTATAAGGGGATCCCAGCACCAATACCCAATATTTCCGGACCCCGATATCAGAAGAAGCTGTGTGGACAACCGAGAATCGCCAAAGGGTACGACGAGGTAATCTGCTCCTGCGCTGACTGTGTAGGTGTCTCCCGGAAGGCTGTCGACATACTTGTTCGACCACACCTGGGGCTTGGGATTCGGGCTCGGAGCTTAGGGCTCAGGGCTTAGGGTTTGGGGCTTCGGGTTTAGGGCTTAGGGTTTAGGGGTTTAGGGTTTAGGGTTTGGGATTTGGGGTTTTGGGGTTTAGGAGGCTCAATCCAAAGGCTTCACCTAGGGCCTCAGGGTTCGTGCTGAAGGCCCCCGATGCGGAAACTTACTCCGAAGGACTTGACTCAAGCCTGCAATATGGACGCCTTATCAAAGTCCGTCCGACAACTCCTTGTGCCTAAAACCGCATGAACTCGTAACCTTGAACCCGAATTAAACCCTAAACCCCAATGCCGAACCCCCAAAGCGAACCCCATGTTCTCCTAGCTGAATTTGATGAGCTCGTACCCGCCTCGAAGTGTGGCTACGACGATGAGTTCAAAGATTTCACTAGGCCCTAGGCTTCCTTTCAGCGGCACGAAAGCAGGCCTTGGGGTTTAGGGTTGAGGACAAGCTTCGAGGAATTTTAAGTTTCACGGCTTTGCAGGCTTGCGGTTTACTAGGTTACGTTGGACATGCAACTGCACGAGTGTGCAGCCAGGATTTCCGATCAAAACCGCGCCTTCTCGCCTGTTTCCATTCTCAGTGCAAAGACCTCGCCGCTGTGACAGGTGGTATACAGGATGCCATCATAGAGCGCAGGGTTCTGGCAGTGTGTTGCGTTCGGCCACACTTCCCATCGCTTGAGGCCCTCCTTTGTGAACGAGAGGAGCGTGCCCAAATCGCTGCCGGTGTAAACGTTGAGTTTGTCATCGATACCTGAGTTTCGTCACAGAGACAAGAAACGAAACGAACTGAATTCCAGAATCCCCCGAACTCTACAGGCCCGAATCGGAACCCGCAGCCCTCAACACCAAATCCAAAACAACTCACTCTACACCCAGACCCTAAAAGCTCTAAACTCTAAGCCCTGGAAAAGCTGCGAACTCTAAACCCAGAACACATCGAAACCCTAAAAGCCTCTGGTCTAGACCCCGCAACCTCGGCAACCCTAAAATCCTAAGCCCTGAGCTCAGTTTGCCTATAAGCCAAGATGCAAGGCGTTTGGTGGAAGTTGAGGCCAGGCTTTTCATATTTCCTGAGCCCCCTTTGGAAAAAGCTGAGAAGGCAGGATTTCTAAAGATTGGGGTTCAGAGATTAGGGTTTATTTAGATTGTAGTAAACCAGAACCCCAAAAAAATTTAAACCCCACTTACCAAAAAATCAAAGCGCATCCTTGCATTGTGCAAGTTGCCATTTGGGTGCCCCTAGAGGAAAGGGCGCAAATGCCGGCGACCAGCCGGATCTGTTATCCTGTTGTGCTTGAATGTAGGACCCTGATTAAGAAACCTTGGGCCTTTATTAGGGCTCCTTATGTGAATCCTGCAATTTTGGGGTTACAGGGCCAGGGTTTCTTGATCAGGTTCCTACATTAAGGTTGACGGTCCAGTGTTTGCATCGCTGCGCTTGCTTGACCCGGGAATTCGGGTTTAGAGCTCAGGATTTAGAGCCCCAGTGCAAGTCGCAATTTAGTCACAACAGGGCTGCCCCAAGTCTGTACAGTGCGCTATGTGCTGCTTCCTGCTAATATACCCTAATCCCTAAATCCCTAAAGCCTAAAATCTGCACCTGGACCTGAACCCTCGGCCGATCCGGAAACAGCCAGCCCAAGAACTGGCATTGAAGCCTATAAACTTTGAGAGTTTGCAAGACTAAACTCCATAACCTTATCGGTTCATGCACCCGTGTAGTATATAGTCTGTACTTTACCTAGAGTCTCTATTATGGTTCCTTTTTTGCTTAACCAAAATCTCTATTCTAGGATCCTAACCCTAAAACTTGTTAACCAAAAAAAGGAACTACAATGGAGACAATAGGTACTCCTAGATCGCCCTCAGAACGGCCAAAACAAACCATATGAGTCCTACAAGCCCTACGGCCCACAACCCACATAACGATGAAAGCGTCGTTCACACCACGGCTTGGGTACCAGTAGGCCGACTCCCTTCTTTCGAGGGTGCGCTTCTTTTGCCTCGGATAGATAGGGGTGTAGGGTTTGGGGCTTGGGGTGTAGGGCTTCGGGTTTAACGGGTTCCAAACAAAAAGACACAGGAAAATGCAAAGCCGTACAGTCAAGGTACCTTGAAATAAACTTACCGATATGCAGCAACCCCCAGTCCACTAAGCTGGATACGCTTCCCTTGGAAAAAACTGTTAACCGGAAATCCAAAGCCCCAAACTTGGACGGATCAGCACATATCTGGAGTGTATGCCACAGAGACATGGCTTTTGAGGTGGCGAAAATTGAAGATCTATTAGCTGGATGGGTGAGATCCTTCTCTTCATGCTTTCTCTAGGGTACAAAACACACCAAACTTACAAGGCCCTACGTCTCATCTCCAAATCAGCCGACCGCATGGCAAGCAGGCCGCCAAGCTACAGCCCCCAAAACCTGCTTCAAGGTTCATGGGACTTAGTAACTACAGTTATAAGTACCTTTAGTAACTACAGTTATAAGTACCTTCACAGGGGTTATAACTAGTTGTAAGCATAGCTACCTTAATTATAACCGTAGTTACTAAGTCCCACGAACCTCCAAGTACGGATACTGGGAGCCACCGAAGGGCATAGTGACGCTCACTTGCACCATACTGGTGGCCGCATCGACGCAGCTGTCCTGCAGGAGGACATGCCGAGTTTACTTGGAGGGTCGGGGGACTTACGAAGTAATTGTTTTGTAGAGTTATAAGTACCGTAACCCCAATTAGGATCCCTTTTAGGGTACTTAGAAGTCTACTGACTACCCACTTACTAAGTCCCCCGACCCTCCATGTAGAATTCAGCCCTAGAACCAAGACCACAAGACCCTACGCTTGATGATATAAATCCTGCCTTACCCATAAGGAATATACCATAATTCCCATAGTTTAGGGTCCTTGAGGTAATGCAGGATTCATATAATCAACAGTATTTAAACTTAAACCCAGAGCCAGGGTTAAGGCTTAAGGGTTTGAGAGAGGATTTAGGGCCAAAATTTAGGGGCTGTAAAGCTTGCCTTAACCCGGACTAACCTACCTTTTAAGGACTTATATAAGGACATCATAATAAGGAACCCTAAAAAGGTAGGTTACTCAGGGTTAAGGTGCAGCTTCCGCACTTTGACTGAGGCCTTGCATCCGGAAGTCAGCAGCGCTTCGTGAACTTTAGGTAATACAGGGGCCTTAATGACTCGAGTCGGGTTTTGGGTTATATAGTACGCGATGTTTATATAAATATATATATATATATATACATAGTGTGTGTATATATATATATATATATATGTACATACATGCATACATACATACATACATGCATATGTATACTTACATGTATGTATAGCTATCTATATATATATATATATACTGTATATATATATATATATATATATATATATATATATATATAAATATAGATACACGCCATTAGGAGATGCTATTGCCAAATTTCCATACCCTGATAATCAACTACTACTATATCTCTACTTGCGGGGCCCACATATCAGGAAATCTGCACCTCGTCAACAGCCTCCAGGCAACTGAATGCCCAAAGCGCCAGACAATATCGCAGGACCATCTTAAGCCTAAACCGTCCAGCAGTGCGTCACTCCGGACGGTTGCGTTATGAACAGCACGGCACGTGGAGTTTCGCCGCAGAGCTAGCAGAATTTTGAGCCGAAATGCGGTAGCAGTTCTTATCTCATGATGTTGGGCTATGGCTACGGCAGCACGGTGAAGGCCACACCCGCGATTGGACGCCTATGACACACAAGTTCTGGAAAACAAGTCGCGAAATGGCATTGAGAGCCACTCGAGAACTCAGAACAGAAGTTGGTGCTGCACCTACATCGCAACTTATTTTGGCTTGCTATTGTCACTGTCTCTCACCAACTCCTTTCCTAGACGTGGCGGGTTCTATCCTCTTCAACACCTGAGTGCTAGTGAGTGGGAGGAGTATGACGAATGTGTCATTGGGAAGGTGTGTAGGTCCTTTCCACGGCAACAAAATTCGATGATATGTAGCGGCTGCCTACGGGAGCTGCGCATGAGAACTACTCGTACATGACTGGCCGAATGAAGCATGGCTGCAACCAATCTGCCCTGCCTCAAAAGTCCACAACACTTGAAAAACCAAGAACAACCCCATAAGAACATGCCTCCCCCCCGCCCGTTAGACAGGTAAGGTTTCCAGACGAGTTGATATACGGGTTATTGCAAGGGCTCCACGAGTTACGGAGTTTAGGGCTCTATGACGCTATGCTGGGCTTTGAAGATTATATTGCAGCTTCTTGCCAGGTTGCAACAAAAGCGCCGCTTCGCCAAGCGCAGTTCGATCCGCTTCTCCTCGAGTTGTTCTTGATTGAGCGATTCGGTAACCTACTGTCGGGTATCATGGGGAACTACAGGCTAACCTTTTTGGTTAAATAGGGATCTTATAGGGGCTATACTGCCCAAAAAGGGTTCAAGGTTACCTACTCTACTAGTGGGGTAAACCCTGAACCCTACTCGCCAAACCGGTACGACTAAAGGAGCGAAGTATACACAAAGCGTGGTACTTTAAGCTATACCCCCTTAGAACCATAATAAGAATAATCATGTTAATATTCTGTTGGGTTTTATATGAACAAAAATAAAAAAATCCCAAGGAGACTATAGTAAGTGGGATTTTCTCTAAGTGGTACCAACTCTGGGATGTTCGGAGCCACATGATGTTTGCATGTCGGGACAGTGGGTGTGGGAGTTGAAGTTTTGGGGGCTCTAGGGCCAGGGTGTATGGCTACCCATAGGCCCCAAAGTAGTTCCTTTTTGGGATTACCCTATAGGATTCTATTTATGAACCCCAAAAAGGCACTACTTTGGGGCCTTAGGGTAGTCGCTACTAGCAAGTAGCCAACTCGTACGCGCCCTGATCCCAAAAGCAAGCTAGTAGGTGTGTTGCCCGAGAGTGGTTTTCATGCGCAGATACAATATAGCCATGGCGGGGATTTGTCCGTGTCACCCCTCCAGAGTAACAAGCAAAACCCAGCATCCCTGAATTTAGAGGAAGTAGTCATTCAAATGCCCCTCCAGCCTTTGTAGCCTTGAATACACTCAGCCCAACCCCAAGTACTAAGCCTACTTTATAATTACAAGCCCTAAACCTCCTCATGAAACCTGGCCATAAGCCCTGTCAAAAGCCTGTATTAAAGGAACCCTACAGGAACCTTAAGTTTAGCCCAACTGCATGTAAGCCAACCAAGCATGCTACCAGGGATCTCCGCTCATGAGGAGGCTGAAGTGAGGTTCCTGCCTCTGGACTCTAGGAGCTTTGGGTTACAGTCCACCCAAGAAAGTTGGAACATGGATTTAGGATGAGAAGTGATAGGATTCCCCATACTTCACCTTAAGGGCTTCTACTATAAGGGTTTCCTGGCGTAGAGAGGTTTAGGGTTTAGTGTTGAGGCTTCCGGGCTTATCGCTTCTAGGCTTTATGGTTCAGGGTTTGGAGTTTAGGGTCTCGGTGATGCGGGCTACGAACAGGGGCCTTGATAATTCATACAGGCTTTCTATGCGAGTTGAGTAATTTATGTGTTCGATTGAGGGATAATGGAAACGTGTGAACAAGAGGGCCATTACTAATTGTTTGGATGTTGTAGGTCCTACGCGTATTGGGGTGTTGGGTCAGCGATTTGTGTGATGTATTTTAAACGCGGTTTCAAGCTCTGCGGCGTTGAGGGACTTGTGTTTTGCACTTCAGAGCATCGGGTTCTTCAGGGCTGAGTCGGAACCTGCCAGCCTGCATAATCGGAACTTAGCAACATTTTTTCCGAAGCCTTCCCTCATAAATGCTTCAGCCAAAACTCACGTGGAGGTCGTGGGTTGCGTAGTTGGCAAGCTCCAGGAGGCTTGGCTCCGTTCCTTCCACCTTCACAATCACAACCAGCACGATTGTTTGTAAACGTAGTACTGATCGTCGGTGGCAGGGCTGGTCACGTTCATCGAGCTTTCGCTAGCAAGTGACATGAGCAACAACATGATACCAGGTACAGCTAAGAAGGGCGTTCATCGAGTCTCGCAGTATCTTGCACCTCCTCCGACCTCGCGCAGACGATCACCTACTTCTGCCACATCGCCAGAGGCTAATTACAATCTGCTCAAGTTGGCACCACCACAAAACCAACAAAACCGACGACAGCCAACGGCAACGGCAACGGCAACACCACCACAACCACCACCAACAACAAGGTGGCACGTGCGTCTGCCGCCGCGCGGGGTGTCGTTTGTCTTTGGGAGTTTTTTTGTTGGCAAAAGCTTGAAAACCCTGAGCTTTGTGTGGCTTTCGTCAGCAAGATTTGTTTTCCGTAGTTGTTTGTCTTGTTTTTTGGTTAGGTTTTTGCGAAAGTGTCGCAAATACCATGCTTTCCGTCTTTCATGGTTGTTGATTTTTGGGGGGGGTTCTTTGCGAAGTTTTTGTTTGGAAAGCTTCAAAAACTCGAGGTTTTTGCATGGTTCACGTTTCGAAAGTGAAGCAACAAGAAGCGGCAACAAGGGCTTCACGGAGCAACCGGCAGCGTTTGAGAAGTAACGAACAAAAGAAACAGAAGACGCATGCCGCGTTCGCATGGACGCCATCCCCCCCCCCCCCCCCCCGCTCCCGATCCCCCACCCCACCCCCGCACAGAGCTGAAAGACCAATGCAAGTCTAAGCTGGCATGTGCAAAAAGTCGAGAGTCGGCAACAACACCGCGAAAACCGATGCGAAATGCGACGCACATCGCAAGCAACAAGAGAAACGGAAGACACAAGTCGCATTCGCATGGACGTCATCACCCACCCCCCCATCCCCCCCACCCCCGCACAGAGCCGAAAAACAAAAGCAAGTCGAAGCCGGCATGTGTGCAGAAAGTCGAGAGTCGGCAAAGATACTGCAAAAACCGATGCGAAATGCGATACACACACGAGAACGCCGAACAAAAACGATGCGAAATGCAGAGCTGAGCATGTTTTTGTACAATGCAGCCCGCCGGCCGTTGCATTTTTTGCTAGAAAACATCGCCAAAACCGATGCGAAAACACAACGCAAGTTCAATTCCGGGTGAGCAAAGTGCCAAAACTCGAGTTTCAGCGCATGCCAGCCATGCCAGCACAGAAATCTTACCACCACGCGCGGCGGCAGATGCACGCGCTGCCAACACACCAACAGCAACTGCAACTCCAACATCAACGCAACCAACACCACCAACAACCACAGCAACAGCAATCGAACTGCTTCTACTGGTGCTACTCCAAACTCCAACCTCAGAGGGCTCTGGTAGCTCCATTCGAACCTTCGGGTGGCAAGGTGATCTTGCGGGTTATTGGCATTTGGAAACGGGCAATTGGGTCGCAGTTTAGGCTGAATAGGATCTTGGATTTCGGGGTCAACATTTCCACGAGACTTGGGTTAATACAGCGGCCTTAACTCTAGTTAGAATAGGGTTTGGGGGTCCATTATACTATACATATAAGAAGAAATCCCCAAAACAGTATATAGGTAGTTATTAAGGCCGCTATATTAGTTCTTACAAGCTTACGTCTGACAAATTACCTGTTCAGGGCTTAGAGCATTCGGAGTTTCAGTATGCGAGGTGTGCAGGAATAGCTTAACTCAGAAAGTAGCATGGTTATTTGCTTTAGAAACCTCAATGTATCTTCAAACAGCTCTTCTACAAACCACATGCCAAAACGTGTCGTACCAAACGGTCCTCGAGCTCGGTCATAACCCTGCCGCAATGCCATAAATGGTAGGTTTAGCGCATCGCAAATCGCGATTCAAGCGGTTTTGGGCTTACTGTAGTTTGGGGGATTTGGGCTGGGCTTAGGGTCAAGTCCCAATAACACAACACCCGTCCTAGCAAGACCTTGCATGGAATCCCTGCTTACTTGAAGCTTTTCGACAGGCACATCACGGCTCTACATACAACGGTTCAGAACATGTCGAAATCAACCGATCAACGCACTGTAAAAGCCAGTGAAAGCCCTTTCAAATTTCCCCCACGTCCTACAACTTGCATCCAAAACATTCTATCCGACTAAACACCTCGCTGGGTTGCAGGGCGCGACCCTGTCAAAGCGGTGTGAAATACTGTACTATAGGGGCCTACGTAATTACCAATACTATTCCTAGGGTTCCTCATTACCTATAGGCTCATACCCTGCCCTTTTTGAGGTACCTACTTTTCTATATAGGAGATCCTAACCATGAAACTAGGTACCCTAAAAAAGGGGTTGACCCTCCAGGTATGCTCATAGTATCCAGAAGACTATAGTGAACTTAGAACCCTAGCAAAAATTGGAATTTTAGCTGTTTCTTAAGGACTATAATAACCAAAAATTAAACATATATTTCTAAGTACCCCTAAGAAGGCCCCTTTATGAGGCCTCAAGCCCTTGGGACCCCGCCGAGATCCTCAAGTTTCAGGCCCAAGTCTAAGCCAAAACCCTAAACCCTTAAACCCTAAACTCCAAATCTAAACCATTGTGAAAGCTGGTTTAGGATAAAGGGTGGAGGGATATACTAGCCATTTAATGGATGTTTGGTCCCCGAAAGTATCTGCTATACAATAACTTGAGACCCTTTGAGTTCTAGAACCTCCTAGAACCCCTGCAAAGTCCTCGTGAAGCTCCTTACGAAACCCCCGCGAGCCTCAAAGCCACCGCGGAGATCCAGAAGCGAAGGGAGCCAGACTTGGGCAACGTGGTGGGCCTGGAAAAACGTGAAGTCTTGAACCATACAGGCTTGCAAATATTTTGAGACTTTAAACTGGTGGGGCTGTGAGCTTGTACAAGGAAGGTTTCGGGGGCATTCTGGCGTGTTGACGGCTCTCATCGGGATTCCGTTGAGGAGACTTAGTAAGTACAGCGATAAGTACCTGAATTGGGTTATATGTAAGTATAGGTATGGCTAAAATATTTACAACCCTACTTACTACAGTAGAAGCCAGAAAGTTGGAATATCATTATCGTAACCCCTGTAAGGTAAATTACAGGGGGTCCTACCATTAATCCATATTCCAACTTTCTGGAGTTCCCTTTAAGTCAATTGAACCTCCAGGTATGGGGTCGGATTGTGGGTTGACGGTTTCTGACTTGACTTGCAGCCCTCAGGCTCAGTCCTGGTTCTGAAGAATCGAACCCTTAGGCTCTAAGGACTCATAATTTAAGGCTTTTGGGCCCAAAGACCATACTATATAAGGCTTTTGGTTTTTTTGAGCCTTAGGGGAAGGATAAAGTTGGAATGCCCATACTGCGCAACAAACTCCTTGACCAAGTGGAGCCCTTCAGGGTATTCCGGTTCTGTTGCGTGACAGTGAATTGTACAAAGGCCTTATTGTAGACTCCAAGATAGAACCCTCAGAGAACAAGGTTGCAGGATCTGTTACTTGTCATTGAACCCCTACCCGGAGACTATAAACTCTGGACACCTTGGCCTATATACGTCAAGACATCGACCCGCCACGCCTGGCCGCGCTCGAGAAGAACCTACGCAGAACTCGCAACAGTGTGCTTTCGCGATCGGGCTCAGCGAAACACAAGGGCCGGTACTAGTGGATCTGTGCTGCGAGAGGCATCGGGCTCCAACTCTAGAGGTCCGGGGCTCGTAAGAGAGTTCTGGAACAGAAGGTCCAATACGTCATAGAGAAACACGAGCTGGCACCCGCAAGCACTTCAGAGCAGCCTCCAAAAACAAAAAACACTTCTGTGATTACTGGTCCTGTTACTGCTACCTGCGACCACTACTATTAATTACTAGTCCTGGAGCAAGACTCAATCGAATCCGGAAATGTCGTCTATGCAGCCTGGATCGAGAGCACCACTGGAGGGCTGAGGATGGACTACTATCGGGGACCTTAATAAATTTCAATAGGGTTTTGGAGTTTATACTACAATTTATAACAAGGAAACCCCTAAATGGTGCATTTTAGTAGGGTTTTAGATTTTATTATACTACAATTTATACTAAGGAAACACCTAAATAGTTTTGGTAATGATTTAGGCCCCCGCAGTACATGAATCATGTAGCAGTTGTCTTGTCTTAGCTCCTCCTTGTGGGGCTGAAATTGTAGTATCCTTAAGGGAGGGGTATATAGCCTAGTGATCCCTAATTCTCCCTAGTACTCCCTAAGGTTCCCTTACAGTCCCCTAAGGATTCCTTATACCCTCCCCCTTGAACCACCCTCCCTTAAGGATCCTATAATGAAAGCGTTAGGGTCGGGCTTGGGGCAACTAAGGCATCTAATGTAGGAACCTGATTAAGAAACCTTTGGCCTAAGGGTTCCATAGGGAGTTTATAAGGGATCTGTAAATGGTTTAGGGTTTAGGGTAGGAACCTGATTAAGAAACCTTGGGCCTTTATGAGGGCTCCTCATATAAATCCTAGCATTTTGGGGTTATAGGCCCAGGGTTTCTTAATCAGGTTCCTACATTCAGATATTACGGTTCCTTGTTGTAGAAGCTGGGTATCGTTGCCCGTGTTGCCACTGCTTCCTACCATTCCACAAAGGTTACCTGATCATTTGTCCTATGCTTCCAAGGACCTTATAGTTAGGGCCCTGGAGCTCGTCAGGACCCAATAACGGCTTAGGGTTCCAGGTTTAGGGTTTATAATAACAGTGTTGATGGTATAAATCCTGCATAACCACCTTCAGAACCCTAAACTATGGGAATTATGGTATATTCCTTATTATGGGTAATGCAGGATTTATATCATCAACCGTAGTAATAATAAGAATCATGCGGTCCCTGGAAGCTTAGGGTTGATTGTTTTAATTTGGGTGACGGTTTAGGGTTTAGGGTTTAGGGTTTAGAGGTTTAGGGGTTTAGGGTTTAGGGTTTAGGGTTTAGAGGTTTAGGGGTTTAGGGTTTAGGGTTTAGGGTTTAGAGGTTTAGGGGTTTAGGGTTTAGGGTTTAGGGTTTAGGGTACACTGCCTACGTATCCTCCTCAGGCGCCAGGTATACACATAATGCCTACATCGGGGTCTACACTCAGCAGTATAGGGGCCTTAATGTTTATAGTAGAGTTTTCGGGCCCAGTATACTATAATCATAATAAGGAGCCCCCAAAGTAGTATAGGTAATTCTTTAAAAATCTAAGAATCTACTTACGTTCATGTTCAGTGAGAACCAACCCTAACCCCCTAACCCCCCCTCACACGCCTGCTCCCTCGGGGCAACGGTCAGCAAGCATTCCACCTCCAAGGACCCGATGTGGAGAGAGATCTCCTGGCATGTGGGAGGGGCTACGATGTTTAGGCGAATTTAGCAGCTCCCATAGACTCCAACATCACTGAATTGAGGAATATTTTTGATCTTATAGAAGGATTCCTAATACGATGTAAGGTATATTCCTTAATTCTGGGATATTCGAGTCTCTGACCTTCTCGCTTTCATCAACTCAGTAACAAAGCCCCATTAAACTAAGACACCGTGTACCGCTGTGCATGTTATACACCGGCTAGAAGCCCGTCACGCCCTGGCAACGCCCTTTGAAGGCCAACCCAAGCCGCCAGTAACAAAACCTTCAAAACCGGTACCCTCAACCCTGAACCCTGAACAGTTACCCTAAGGGTCCAAAGGACCCAAGAATTAGGTACTTAGGTTTCGGATAGTAATTATGTAAGTTGCTGTTTGGGAGAGTATATGATTATTGGGTACTCGGACCCTTAGGGTTAATGATCCAAAAATAGAACCGGCTGAATCCAATACCCTAAGTCCACAGCTCCACAAGCCCAAACCCCTCAATCCACAACCCAAACCGAAAGACCAACACGCTCAATCCAAGGCCCAAATTCCAACATCCTAAATTCAACTCTAAACCCGAAACCATCCCCTGCTTAGTCCAGGCTTCAGAGAGTTTATAGGCCTAGTATAGGTATATTATACTATCATAAGGAACACCCAAAACCCCAGTCTAATTCTTGAACCCCAGTCTAATTCTTGAGGGCCCTACGGAATCCCCAGCCTTGACGGCCGATCTCAACCGTGCAGCCAGGTCGTTGGCTCGATCGCCGGGAGCAGCGCCGCGGCCCAAGCGTGTGGCGGCCTCCTCGAATAGTGCGACCACGACGATGACGACGACTACTCGATTTAATAATAACCATGAGAATCTCAAGAATAGAAAGAAGAGCATTAAGAAGATTCATAAAAAAAACAATGCGAATGATAAGAACGATAAGACCAATAATACATCATCATCACCACCATCACCACCGCCATCTCCATCACCCTGACCATCATCATCATCATCATCATCATCAAGATCATTATCATCAGCAGCATCGTCATCGTCATTATCCATCACGACGACTACGATTACAACCCCGCCCCTCACTCAGATGCTTAAAAACCTGCGGATATGCTTACACATATTAATATGACAAGCCCTTGAACCCCTGAGTAAACTCAGGCGTCAAGGAGCCATGGTTGGAGGTTGCTAGCGTTAATCAAAGGGGAAAGGAGGGACCCTTGATAGGGACCCCTGGGTCCCTATAATGGGCTATATAATGGGTATATAATAGCTGTACTGAGTGTATATGCCTAGGGGTCCTTATTAAGGGTCCCTCCTTTTACCCTTGGAGTTAAGGATAAACCGTGGGTTCAGAACGGCTCCTCAGGATTCAGGGTTTTTAGCATGCTTTGAGTGTTCGGGTGTCTGAAAACCCTTACATCCCCATAAATGCGAAAACCCTAAACCCTGTAAACCCTAAACACACCGGCACGACTGAAAGGTTGAAAGAAGACTACAGATCGCGGAACCAGGTCTCCTCAAGCGTCAGCAGCTGGCCACCCATCGCCTCTGATCTAAGATTTAAGGGTTCAGGGTTTAGGGTTGAATTCAGGTTTAGATTTAGGGTTTAAGGTTTAGGGTCTAATAGGGTTTAGGATTTAAGGACTCCACAAGTATTTCTTTGGACGATCACCTTTGAGTACAGCTAAGAACTTCCCATTGCCTTGTACTGGTAGCTTGCGATATCCCTAAACCCTAAACTCCTAAACCCTGAACCGTTCTTTGCGAACGGGATGGATCTTGGCCGGGCCTTTGTAACCAGCACAGGATTTCGGGGTACCGTGTGCAATGCTTGTTTCGGGAACCGTATGGACTACGGCTGAAACATCTTCAAACTCTTGTAACAGTTGATTGAAGAATTCTTACAGACACCTCACTCTGCATAATAAGGCACCCATACTAAACCCTGACAAAGATCCTGATTATAAAGGTTATAGGGCCATTTTCGAGAACCCTATACCCTTAAACCCCAAACCCTATCACAATGAGCCAAGCTGCACAGAGAGTAGAAGCCTCTGGGCGTGGCAAGCGCAATGCCTCTCACTAGCTCACTAGCACAAAGTCAGCACGTTAAGGGTTGAGGCTATTGTTTCTGAGGCTTAGGGTTGAGGGTACAAATAAGGCTATTGGTTTTGGGCTTTAAGCTTTTATAGTTTGGGCTGTAGGGTTTAGGTTTAAGGCTTATAGCAACATAAGGATTGCAGGGGTTCAAACGTATAGGGTTTATGGTTTGAGGTCTAGGGTTTAGCATTTACGGTTCAAAAATTGGGCTCGATAACCTTTGACCCCAAACCCTGAACAAAGCCCTCAACCGTAAGCCCTTAATCAATAAACCCCAAACTCTAGTTCCTACTGTCAATCCTAGATATCCCGAACTCTTAAAAAAAGCTTAAGCCCTCTGCATCCCTAAATCTTCAGAAATCTTAAACCCTAAATATCCCGAAATCTTAAGAAATCTTATAAACCCTACTTACTTGGAGGTCCATGGGATTTAGTAAGTACAGTTAGAATTACCTTAATTGGGGTTATAAGTAATTAAAAGTATAATAGTTACCGTATTTATAACCCTAGTTACTAAGTTCCATGAACCTCCAAGTAAAAGCCGAAGTGCCCCGAGGCCGCCGAAGAAGTACGCAGAAGCCAACCGAGGAAAGATGTCCTTCAGACTTGGGTTTCGGGTGCAGGGCTTTAGGGGTTTAGGGTTTAGGGGTTTAGGGTGCAGGATTTAGGGGTTCTTCCGGATTTAGGGCGGGAGGTTTAGGTTCAGACTATTGGGTTCGGTGCTCTTGCGTTTGGGGGTGTTCTGATTTCTCTCTGTATCGGGTTTGATGTAAGACGGTGACGCTGCTTACATCGGCGTAGTTGACCACTCCACTGTGCTTCTATCAGAGTGGAGGCGTGATATTGGTACAAGCCCAAAACCTTGAAAAAAAAACCCTGAACCAGTAAATACTAATACGAATATATACCTACTAAACCCTGTACCCTAAAACCCCCAAATGCTAACACGAACACTTGATGTGTAGGGTTTTCGATTCCGATGTGTGCCGGAGCTTTCGGGTCCATACTAGCCAGGTGTTCCAAAATCCCTTACTTCACGGTTTTGGGTTTAGGGTTCAGGAAATACCTTAGACTGTTACGGCCGCCCTTCAAGCCCCATAAATACTGCTGTACAAACTTATGAAACCTATTAACACTCGAGTTAACAAAAACAAGTCCTAAACCGCAGCTACGTACTGAGGCTGTTCCATGCAAGAATACACAAGACTTGAGAGCAACCATAAAGTGCACATGAGGGGCCTTGACAAGAAACATTACAAGTCGTACTTTTAATCGTATTGATGCTAGTCTTCGTGTTAGTCTAGTAGTTGGTTAGCAATGGAATAGTATTCGTATTAGGATCAGTATCGGTATTCGAACGACTTTGCGGCCAGCATTCTTCTTCGCAGTCGTGTTCGCGCCTTGTGTTATGCTCTTGGGTTTAAGTTTAGGGCCAGCATCCTAATTACAGCCTTACAATACGGTTCAGGAGCAAGCCTAAAGCTACAACCCTAAACCCTAAACCCTAAACCCTGCAGAGTCCCAGGGGCATAGATCCTCACCGCTTCTTCTACCGGCTTCTTCGAGGTTGCAAACTTCTCCTCGGCGCTTGGCTTCGTGTGGCTATCGGATGTCAGGCCCGGCCCTGCCTGCAGTCTCCATCGTAGCTCCTTGTGTGCGGCTACCTTGTAATTATGATATTTGGGGTTACCTTATAGTCTTATAGGATCCTGAGTATAAACTTGGCTAAACCCCAAAAGCGAACTACATTGGAGAGTCTAGGAGACTCAGAGCTTTGAGGATCACTGTTCCGACTTTCACACACAACGACGATGACTGCGCCTACTACTGCGACTAGTACCAGTACAAATTACTAATACTAGTACGAGCACTGGTAGAACGCATACTAGTAGCACAACTGCTATTTCCACTACTCTGCTACTGCTGCTGCGGCTGCTACTACTGCTACTATGGGGTGGTCTGTGAGTTCAGGCCTTGAAATGTGAGTACTTAGAGCCTGCGGGAAGGATTGTAGCCCTCGCGGTCGGGCCACCAGTCGCGCCGCTTCTAGTGCGAGTGGATGCCAGGCATCGCCAGCGGGTCGGCTTTCCTTGGGGACGAGGCACTTGGACAGCTGTGGAAAGCAGTTGCTTCTCCTGTGACTTTTCCGTCGAACCGTTAAAACAAAACAGTCAACGATGTAGCATGCTATAGGATGCTGCCTAAACCCAGGGAAGTCATATTTCATCATGAAATGTCATGGCGTTCGTTCTAGGTTTCAAGAAGGCCTGATGCGTCCATGTGCTGCGCAGAAGCGCGGGCTTCATGATTTAGGGCTGCTGGAAGATGGTGATCACGGCGACTCGAAGTTTTGCTGCTGTTGCTGCGGTAACAAGGCGTGTGGCTCTTCGTCATGGTGATTCAAATGTCCGAAGATGATGATGAGGAAGGAAGGGTTCGAGTGAAGATGATGAACGAAGACAGTGATGAATCTGATGTTGAATGGTGAGCCAGATGTTAGAGAGAGATGTGGTGGGTGATGCCGAGCATCCTACTCGTACATGCAAGGAGCACCACACCTTCTGATCTGCAAGTGCCTCCAGGACTACAATCTTTCCGAATCTTTCCCCTGAAACCGCTAGAGCCCTTGATATTCATGCCGGTCTCCATAAGGATATCCAGCACGAGCTGCGTGTCCAGCTCGCCTGGCAGCAGTATTGGGCAAGGCTTTGTGCATACCGGCTGCCCACTCATTCAGGAGGGCCTACGGCTGGCATGTTGCAGTTCCCAGACCTTCCAAGATCCCTTAATTAAGGAATATACCTTAAATCATATTAGGGGTCCTATTATGATTTAAGGTATATTCCTTAATTAAGGGATTTTGGAAGGTCTGGGTTCACCTGTCATTCAACCCCGAGGCCAGCGAGTCCTCTGCATGGGTCTACCTCTCGTAGATCATTATGACCAAGATACACAGCTACTTGTCTCCAGACTCTCGAGACATTTCAAGCGAAAGTTCGGAGAGTTCCTTAAACCCAACATAAACTTTAATTCTAATACCCAATAGCCCCCGAAAAGGAAGGTATAGGCGACTGGCATCTTAGGCATGTCCGGGTTGACGGTTTGGAGGTGCTTAGACTCTTCGATGGACCCTGATTCTCGTTCGGCAATGTGACTAACAATATAGGGGCCATAATGATTAGCATAAGGTTTCGGTGGTATACAAGTATGAGAAGAAGGAACTCCAAGAACAGTAGCGGTAATTCTTCAGGTCCTACTATATACTGTCAAATCCCAAACACTACTTTCGGCGTGAACCTGGAACCTAGAACCTCAAGCCATGCACCCCACACGAAGCACCATCGTCAACGACTCATTTTAAGCCCTGAAGCCTTAGCACCACAACCCAATTCTACCTGGGGATCCCCAAACCTACGTTAGACCCTCTAATTAAGGGGTCATAACCTACTATTCTGTATGGCTTGGGGTCACAGGTACCGGTTTCAATGTCAAGAAGTGAGCTTCAAGGCTTGGAAGATCACACTGTGCAAACAAAATTTAACATTCTACCTTAGCCTAAACCTGTAGCCAAACGGCGGAAGCAAGTCGGCAGCCGTCGAAAGAATGAGGTGCCAAACAGCGGCAAAACCGATGGCACTGCACGCCTCTGCTTTTTTAGGGCTATGGCTTGAGGGCAAACTTTAGGGTATTTCGGTGGTCTAGAGTTCACGCCATCGATGGAAGACAGGGTTTGACGTGTTTGGCGGCGGAGTGGCGGGAGGTTGGAGTTTATAGGAATCCCTTGAGAAGCTTCAAGCGAAAACTCCAACCTGCAGTCAGTCCAAGAGTTGGCGACGAACCAGCAAGCGGTGGCGACATGCCAGTCCAGCTATCCCTGCGGCTACGAGCATTCAAGTAATACCTACTTTGAGGTCGAAAATCCAGAAGCAGTACCTACTTTGCGCTATTTCAAGCCCCATGGCATGGCTGTAACAGGTTCTTGAGGGCTCTGAACCCGTATTCCTAAAGCCTCTCCTGTCCATGCCACATCTCGTAAATCCCTAAAGCCCGAATCGCCGAAATTCAACCTTAAGCCCTACAGCCCTACAGCTCCATATTCCAAACCCCAAGAAACCCTGACTGTTGGACTCCCTAGCCCTGAGTTCTCGACCCTAAAGGCCTCAAACTCTGGAAGCCCAGTCGCTCAAGGGCGGCACTGATTGGCAACAGCATCTTCATCGACATCTCCCCGGTCTGATCCTTTGGGATCTTGAAATTCGTTTCCGGTTTCGGGGTTTAGGACTTGAGGGCTGTAAACCCCATGCAAATTTACATTCCTGAACGAGTTTGGGGCTCGGGGCTGGGGGTGGCTGACTTGGGGTCTATGAAGGCTTTGGGTTTAGGGCGGTTTAGGGCTTTTGGATATATAGGGGCATAAACAGGAACCCCCACAATAGTATTAGCAATCATTTAGGCACCTTTTATTAGTTTGAGGTTTCGGGTTCAGGGCTCAAGCCTCGAAACAGCAGCTGGTGGCTTCACAGCCAAGGGGCATTTGGTGTGTTGGACATCACCACCGGTCGGTAGCCCGCGCGGGACCAGAAACGGAACAGCTGAGCGGTGAGGCCTGCGGAAGTTTGGGAAACACAAATAATTCGGCGGCAATACTACATTTACTTCTAGGTCTTGCAATACAGACCCGCAGATAACAGTGTCGGGAAATATTCATGCTTCTATATTTTCTATATATATATATATATAAATATGTATATCAGCCAGATTCCCAGCTCATTCACGCGAGTCACATGGTCATGGCAAATAAGATCATTCCAAGTACTACTTATATATATATATATATATATATATATATACATATTCATATACAAATACATATACATCCCTCAACCGGTGTAAGATGCAAGGATTTATCGTTCAGTCGCCGTTCAGGATTTGAGGGTTCGGACATTGGGATGACATTGCGTTTGGTTGAGTGCATGAAAATGAGGGTGCATATACTCTCTCTCTATATATATATATATATAGATATATTATGTTTATGTCTATGACTATGTTCGTGTCCATGTCTATGTGTAATATGTCTATGACTATGTATATGTACATGTGCATGTATATGTACATGTACATGTATATGCATATGTATATGTATACGTATGTATGTATGGATGGATGATGTAAAGTGAATCTCAGAAAGTTGGAACATGGCTTTCGGAGGATTAGTGTTAGGATTCCTTATACTTTGCCTTAAGGGCATGAGGGCAAGGATGTTCCAACTTTCTGGCTTCTACTATAGGGCCTATAGAGTTTAGGGGACCCCACCCCTAAGGCAAACGACCGAGTCGCCGAAGGAGACACCCAGCCAATCGAACCGGGGACTTCCCCCGGAGGCATCATCTCGGCTCCTAAGCCCTAAGCTTTGCTTAGTGCTTCGGTCTCTTTCTTCGGGCTTTCAGTGCTTCGAGCCTTGGGTTACGGATGAGGGCCAGGGTAGGTAGGTTTAAGTGGTCTGGGGCTGTGCAGAGCTTCCGATTTCTTTGTGCAGGAGGTTTAGTGTTTGAAGGGCTTAGGGTATGCCAAGGGCTCTCATAGCAAAACGGCCTTCGGGACTCTCAAGACACAAAAGGCGGCAACTAACCCCTACCTGGACCCTATAAAGCCCTCCAGAATCATTTCCTTCTACATAAATAAGTCTTCAGAAATGGAGGTTGCTTGGGGTTGCGGCACACCCTGCATCATCCCTACTCCTGGCTCCAAGAACGCTAACTGCTAAAATGGGGCCTTAATTAGAATCGGGTTTTCGTGGTAACTTATGCAATAATCTTGACTGCAGACGTTAGGGAACAATACTGGCAAAAGTTTCGGCGTTTGCGTTGCTCAGAGTCTTTGCTTTATCCCTCGTTCTCTGCAGCTCCCCAGCTGTACTGCAAGCCCTAAAGCCCCGAAAGTTCAACTCCGCATGGTCTGTGCACACAGTAGCATTACTGGGAGGATCATGAGAGTTATAAATTATGAAGTAAGGGGAAAGTACCTGAATTGGGGACATAAGTTTTAAGTAAGTATAAGTACGGTGCCTCATTTATAACCCCAGTTACTAAGTCCCATGATCCTTTACGTAGACTTGAACCACTAACCCAAGCCCCAGAACCCCTCAAGCGGCCTGAGCCCTGGCGACCTAAGACATTCTACAAAGCTCATGACAGGCAGCCCCTTGGCCCAGGCGGTCAGAAGTTCCGCGGCACGCTGGCCAAAGCCCTGTCGCAGAAAACGCGCCACCCCACCTCCCACCTCCTGATGCCTGGCTTGCAGTGTGTACCATGTGTGTGTGTATATATATATATATATATATATATATATATAATATATATATATATATATATATACAGTATGAAGATTTGCGATTGCTTTAGGACGCTTAACCCAGCAATTTGCGCGGCATGTCTCGGACTCTATTTCGTAGTGGCCCCACGTGACTACTAGGCAAGAGGAGAGCCACTCGAAATCACCGGCGCCGAACTCACCCCCATATTACGGAATCGTCTTTCACAGCGCCCTCAAACCTCTCAAAAACACCCAGAATCCCTAAATATCCCTATACAGCTTGTGCACCCCTCAAAGACCCCAACAGTCCCCAAATGCTCCTGCATTTACCACCCAACACAAATACCCCTAACGGATCCCTTATGACCCGTAAACTCCTGTAAACCCTAAATGGGAGTTTCCGAAAATGAGGGGTACCTCATTTTGGGGTCCTTATATTAACCTATTTGTCGAGTATCATGGGGAACTAAAGGTTAAGCTTTTTGGTTATATAGGGATTATATAGGGACTATACTACCCAAAAACAGTTAAAGGTTACCTACTCTACTACTACATAGGCCCTGAACCCCCAAACCCCTTAACCCTATAGATCCCCTTAAATGAAGCCTTATAGATCCCTGTTAAAGCAATCCATATAACTAGGCTAAGGATCCTAAAAAACAAAAACCAGCCCTCCGCCTGCCCCCGCACCGCCGGCGCGGCCACCACGCGCCAGGGCCGAAGTCCCCGGAGCCGAGCCAGGGCCAAGAAGGGATACTCCTTTTCGACACCTTGGGGGGTTTGCAAGCACTCAAGAGCGAGGGAGGGAGAATCAAAGAGACGGAGAGAGATGCGCGTCTCTCTCTCTCTCTCTCTCTCTCTTACTCTTCTCTCTATAAACTTTTCTATTTACATATAGACATATACACATATACGTAGGATCCAGGGTTTAGGGTATAATCCCGGGCCCTCACTTCTTTACCACACCTCGGGTCTTCCGGCTGCTGAGGGTCGAGGGCTTGCTTTGAGTGCTTACCCTAAGGCCCCTAAGTAGTTCCTTGTTGGGTTCATGTTTAGAATCCTATAAGGTAATCCCAAAAAGGAACTACTTTGGGGCCTATGGGTATGGTGCAGGCACTCACCGGGTTGGCCAGCGCAAGGCAAGCAGGTGCTAAAACTCTCTCACGGGCTGATGAACCCTTGGTGAAACCTGTTGAACCTTTAAAGTTACCACTTCACGGATTTTTGCGTCGACTATACTAAGAATCCCGACCCCTGACCCTAGACCCCTAAGCACTTGAATTGGCAAGGCTTACGGGCTTCGGATTTAGAGTTATGGCAGTTGTCGGCATCGCCCACATGCAGACATATACCTGAGCTTCGGGGTTTAGGGTTTAGGGGTTTAGGCTTTACGGGTCCAAGGCTTTGGGTTTATCGCTTAGGGTTTGGGTTTGAACTTTTGCTTTGCAAACTTGTGCCCAACCGTCTCGGAATCTCGGAGAGTCGTATGGGCCAGGCTTAAGGCACAACATGGCATATATGAGAGTTTCCGAAAAATGCGGGGACCTTATTTTGGGGTCCTTATAATCGCATCCTACTATCTACGGTACTATATTTGGGTCCCCTATTTGGGGAAGCTCCCATATCGAGCCCAGTATGCTGGCCAGATGCCAAGTCCCAAATCGAAGAGACGATGTAAACCGATTAGCGCGAATGTAGCAACCTGATAAGAAACCCTGGGCCTATAACCCCAGAATGGTAGGATTCGTATAAGAAACCCTAATAAAGGCCCACGGTTTCTTGATCAGGTTCCTACAAAAATAGTCATAGTCATACAGTAACGACGAAGCTGTTAAGGAACCCTATTCCGATTACCAAAGGCCCGTACAGCAGCTAAGGCATGGGCCATTGGCGAGCAAGTGTGTCTGATGCACTTTCGCACCGGATTTCCCCAATCGCTCGGGCGTCTCCTTCGCTCACAGACACGAAAGCCCTCGGGTCTGTGGTCTAGTTAGAGGTTCATGGGGCTTTGTAACTATGGTTATGAATGAAGTAACTACACTTATAATTGGTTATAACCCCAGCTACGGTACTTGTAACTGTACTTACTAAGTCCCATGAACCTCCAAGTAGGATTGGTGGTCTAGGGTTTTAGGGATTGGTTTGGGCTTTGGGATGTAAGGTTGTCGGGAGTTCAGGGCTTCGGGTGTGCAGATTACTAGCATGTGAAGGTGCTGGAATGGCTGGAGTCGGTCTTACAGTATGGTGTTCTAGGCAAGATCACAGTTTCGACGACTGGAAACCTCGAGCTACAACACTTCCGAAATCATCTAAACATGAAATGGTTGGTTGTCAAAATTATAATCTCTTTTGGGGTACCCTAAAAAATATTTGGTGCCGTATTACACTGAGGACCCAAAAAGGAACCCTAATATTGACAACCACCCAACTAGCCTTGAAGGCCTACAGCCCTAAACCCTTCAGTCGCTGTACCAGGAAGTGTCTGCAGAGACTGGCCATGAAAGGGCCGGGCCGTACAGGGCCTGTTCGACTTTGGTTGGGTAGTACTCACGGCCCATGTCCGTGACACATCTTTCCTCCATACCGACTCAAACTGCTGCCCTCGCAAACGATACGATCCATCTCACACAGACAGACACGCAGACAGACACACAGGCAGGCAGACAGACACACAAACAGAAACACACGGACGAAGCCGGCAAAACAAACATAGACGAAACCTGACACGAGCCAAGAGCCTGCAATCACGTGTGCCTCGTTCCCCAGTTCCCGTTTCGGCTAGCGCATTTCAGGACCCTGCAGCGTGTGTTGAAGTGGCCCTTAGCTCGCCGCATTTCAGGGCCCTGGTGAATACCGTTAAAATGCGAACCCTCCTGCTGCGCACTCTCAGTGGTAACCTAAACTACGGCCTAACCATCCTAAACGTTTGAGATCCCGAGACGCCGCTCCTCGATGGCCACCACCACCACCGCTGGCGGTCCGCAGCCGTCGTTGGCGACGAGGGCAAAGGTGCGGATGTGAGAGTCGGTGACCAACCTCGAGAGCTTCTGAGAAAGGGATTTATAAGGGTTCCTTTAAGGGATCTATAAGGGGTCTGTAGGGCTTAGGGTTCAGGGGACCCCAGTTTCCCGTGATTAAGGAGTATACCTTAGGTCCTATGAGGTATCCTACGATCATTTCGGGTATACATTCTCAATTAAGGGATACTGGTATCCTACGAGCGTTTCGGGTATACATTCTCAATTAAGGGATACTGGAGTCTCTGGACTTATCCAAGCTCTAGGACAGGGGCTTTCTTTTGTGCATCCAATGTGAAGATTTCACGCGGGGGTCTGTTTGAAAAGGGCTCATAGTCATAGGCATCCCTCTACGACAGGAGCCTCAAAATTTAGAAATAAGGCTTTGAGATTAATATGATGTATTTATATGAAGGAACCGCGAGGAATAGTGTGGCATAGTCAGCCTATATAAGACTACCAAACCACCCGCAAACTCAATCCCCAACGCCAGGCAAAGCGCCCGACCAAAACTCCTGCAGGCCCAGAACCGCTTTGCCCTCCACATGGGTGGTTGTCAAAATTATGATCCCTTTTTGGTCCCCATTATAGTACGGCGCCTATTATTTAGGGTACCCACAAAGGGACCCTAATTTTGACAACCACCCACATGCCGCCTGCCATACCCCAAAACCAGAAATCTCTGGCAGCTCCCTCCCGGTTTGAGAGGTTTACTTGGAGGGGCCGGGGACACTTAGTAAGTAGGTTATGAGTAGAGTTATAAGTACCCTACATGGAGTTACCCTAATTATACCCCCTACATATAACTGTACTTACTAACCAAGTCCCCTGCCCCTCCAAGTAGGGTTTAGGGAGCAGCATCAGGCCGCTCCACTTGGTAGTTTCCGAAAGAGGGGGACCCTAATATAGTACCCTAAGTAGTAAGATCCCTACTATAAGGACCCCCAGATAAGGTACCCCTAATTTTCGGAAACTCCCACTTATTCAATCTGAGCCAGTAGAAAACAGCCCGGTACAAAATAACCCTGAACGATCGAAGTGTTCAAACCCTACACCCGCGTCGTTTAGGGAAGTTTTTAGGGTTCAAGGTTTAGGGTTTTCCCTGAGGCTTCGGACAATGCTGAAACTTTGGAGCTTAAGTTTTTGCAGCACTAAATGCGCGAGCATCAACCTCCGAATCCCGGAAGACACCTGAAAGACGATACCCTCAAGTCGAACTCCTGAAAAACTTGAAGGCATAAAGGCATAACCCTAAGGCTCCGTGTACCCTTATAGTAGCTACTTAGGCCTTAAAGGGGTCCCTATATAGGTACTTTAACGACTAAGTATCTACTATGTGGGTACATGGAGCCTTAGGGTAATATAGGGGCCTTAGTAAAAAAGGTCCCCAAAATAGTATAGGTAAGCATTAAGGCTCCTATAGTACCAAGAACCAGCATTTCCTAATCCAAAGTCTCAGAAGTTCTAAGTCAATTACCCTTTTCAAGTTTTTGCTAGAACAGAACCGTGCACTTGTGGGTATCCCAGTCTCGAGTGCAAAGAACGTAGCCAATAAAAACACTACACGAAACGTTTGCAGGGTTTAAGGTTTAGAGTTTAGGGCCAATTCCCCTCCCAGTCTCATAGGTTAGAGCTCCTACTGTAGGCCCATACCCTAAAAATGGTAGGTCATGACCCCGTAATGATAACCCTAAACCCTAAACCCCAAAAGAGTGCTGGATCCCAGGTTAGCCCCTAAAACCTTCATCGCCGGGGCCTTGTCAGGTCATTCGGGGAGGTGCGGTAGTGTCCGCGCAACAGGCCCATAACCTGACTTCTAAGGAATCGTCAGGGTGAATGGTGAATAGAGGTTTTCTTATAAGAGTTCCTTTAAAGGCCTCTGCATAAGGGCTACTACAAGGGTTTCTCTCCTTCACAATTGGAATAGGGCTGAGGGGTACATGATAATGAGGCTGGAGGAATAATTTGGGTGCAACTGTCCCGACCTCTTAGCATCTAGAGTTTAAGGTAGTTCTAGCATTGAGGGATGTAGTCTGTCGGATTCCGGGTGTTAAGACTTAGCGCATGGGGTTTCTTGTATATACCCTCACGAAATTGGGATGTTATAGTAAGGGTTTTGCGTGCGAGAGTCGTAGGTTAACGGTCCAGCAGTCTGGCGGTTGCAAACCCGGGGATTGTAAAAAGGGTTTTTTGGGTTTACTATAATGTCAAAGACCCAAAGCTCTGCAAACTTTTCGCTCTGGGTTCTCACTTTGAAGGCTTCAGGGATCTAAGTGGGTGTAAGGTTTGGCGCTCTGGGTTTTCATGTTGAAGGCTTCATTGATCAAGGATTCGAGATCCATGGGACCAATAGCAGAAACCCGAAATCCCAAACCGAACTAGCCCTAACCCCAATGCCCAATCTCACATCGAGCCCAAAAGTCCCAACCCCTAAACTTTATAGATCCGTCAAAGGAACCCTTAAAGGAACCCTATAGATCCCTTAAACCTTAAAGTCTTAAAGGAACCCTTAAAGGAACCCTATAGATCCCTTAAACCTTAAAGGAACCCTTAAAGGAACCCTCAACCTTGGAAGCTGCCCCCACCCTGTAATAGTGACTGTAAGGATTATATAGGATAACACTAGGGCCTTATTATATTCCTATTATACCACTATTACAGGGTGGGGGCAGCTTCTAACCTCAAGACAATCATCGGCCCTAGGCCCGAGTAGGTGCATCTGGGCTCCTGAGCGAAGTTGCAACTGCGGAACCCTAGGTTAGGGTTTAGGGGTTTAGGGGTTTAGGGGTTTAGGGTTCAGGGAAGCCTGAGTCCATACTCCAAAAATCCTGAGGCCGTACAACAAAGCCTAAGCTGCAAAAGCTCTTCAGCCTGAACTCCAAAATCTCGAACAACCCAGAAATCAAAAACAAAACTAAAACCCACACACTCCCAAGCCCACCAACCAAACCCTAAACCCCTAACCCTAAACCCTAAACCCTCACGCACCCTCAGCTAAACGTCCTGAAACACACTTCGGGCTTGGCACTGCCGAGACCAGGGGGTCACGGCCACGTGGGTCGATCTCCAGGAAGCGAGCGGCCCTTGGGGCTTTGGTTTAGGGTTTATAGGGTTTAGGGGTTAGCGGTTTAGGGTCTAGGGCTAGGGTTTAGGGGTTTAGGGTTTAGGGGTTTAGGGTCTGGGGTTTAGGGGTTAGGAGTTCAGGGCCTAAGGTTCAGGGTTCAGCGGCTTGGGGTCTAGGGTTCAGGGGTTTAGGGGTTTAGGGTTTCTTTGGGGGGTGCTAAGGCCAAGTCGCATCATACTTCAAGTGTGGCAGGACCCACATAATTACAGTAGATCTATCAGAAGCGTCGGGCTTTCTTATGCCGCGGTACTCGGAAGCATGTAATGGACTTGTTGCTGCTCGTGCATGATCGACATCACGATGCGCAGTCATGCTCATGTCGGACATTGGCAATGGCCATGATCAAAATCGTAAGATTCACTACAACCGTCTTCGACATCATCATCAGCTGCAGAAGCAAAAAGGGATTCCATCCTACCTCTCAACTCTGTGAACTGCAGCACATCTACCCTCCCACCGGTAATTAAGCTCAACGGCCCAAACTCAATCAGAAAAGTCTGAACCCTTAACCCCTACCTATACCCGAAAAGCGCTAAACCCTAGACCCCCGAGGCGTTGAGTACCCTCCCAACAGCCTTTTTACCTGCCACCCCAAGCCCGACAAGATAGTAGGAGAGCCCCTTCTGGTCGGGGGTGGTGCCTTTAGTTACACTCACTGCCCCACACGCCAATGGAATACTGTTGGAGTCTGCGCAGCCATCAGGGGATCAGCTGAGCATGTTTTTTCCATTTGTCTTGCTGTCGGTGCGTGAGTGCGTGCTTGGTTCGGCGACCCCAAGCCCTTTCTCCGAGCCAGCGCCACCAACTTAGTACCCCTGTGAGGGATCACATGGGGAAGAGCTTTTGTTCCTGCGAAGTGGGCTGTCTTGCCAAGTGCCCAAATCCAACCCAAGCCGTGGAGCTTTGGGGGGCGGGCCCCCGGAGGTCGGGTAGCACTTTTCCCTGCTTGGATTGAGGGGCTCGGAGCGTCGAACTCTTGCCGGATCTCCCCGATGACGAAAGCGGAGGGGGGGGAGAGATGGCGGGAGGGAACGTTTCCGTTCGGCCGGATTGCACCCCAGGCCATCCACTCACTCACTCACTCACTCACTCAAACAGTAGGAGATGACCTTTTAATAAGAGGGTAGAGCCCTTAAGACGGTTGGTTTTTGGCTCCCGAGGTAAAGTCTCGCCTGAGGTTGCCGTAAACCTTTGGGTCGGCAGGTGGCTTTGGCATGTCCTGCACGTCGTTATCGGGTTTTCATCATGGGATCAGGGGGTAGGATTCGGGTTTAGGGTTTAGGGGCTTGGCTTTTTTAGGGCTTGCACTTTGTTGGTTGCAGGGCGTAAGGTTGGGATAGTTGGGGTGGGTCGGATGCCTCATGGGTAGGGAAGTGTACATTGCGTTGGTCACGGCTAATAGGCAGTGCATGTAGTACAGCCTTCCGTTGCTCACCCTGTCTGACCTACTTGTCCAGTATCCTGGTAAACCAAAGATTAACCCTTGCGAGTATATTGGGCATATAGAGGGATTCTTCTTCCTCCCAAAAAAGCGCAAGTGCCAGGGCTGCCAGGGGTGCCCGGAACTTCAGGGACGCACTAGCGACGATGGGCTTCTGCGGAAGAATGCTAAGGTTAAAGGTTACCCAAAGAATGGTCGCAAGATTGAGATTGTGCAGGCACCTGTGTGGCAACCCTGAAAAAGAAACCTTCTGGCAGGGCTTGCTGGGTTTAGGAAGCTTGGACGTTGAAGCGGCGTGAGCACAATCGCCCAACTCGCAGTATGGTAACAACAGCAGGTCTCCATGCGGCCGACGAACGGATCCGAAAGCCAATCCCACAACCCATCGTACACCCTAATCCTCGAACTTCATACCAAAAGGGTTCTGCTGCGTATCAGTGAGTTTTTGTAAGCCTCCAATCGCTGCTCTTCCATGCTATGCGGTTGACAAAGGTTGCGGTTTACCTCCTAGAACTGCACACATACAACCTCATGCAAAATCCTACAATAGCCGTACGGCACAGCTATGCCCTGCGACGATCGCATCCGAAAGTTTGAGCCATGGAGGTATTCACAACTTAGTCGGCACCGCATGAATAAATCGATCCTAAACCGCTGAACCCTGAACCCTAAACCTGAACCCCAAACCCTAAACTCTAAACCCTGGACCCTATATACCCTGAACCCTAGACGCTGAAAAGTCCCGAAAGGCCAACCCCCGCCCACCCTAAACTGCCCAAACCAATCAATAAGAACCTAAATCCCTCGCGCCCACAAGCCCTACACCAGTAAAGCCCTAATGCCCTAAGCCCCTAAAGCCCTAAACTGCCTAAACCCTCAGTCGGTCCAGCATTTAAAGCCCTAAACTGCCTGAACCCTCAGTCGGTCCAGGAAGAGCAGGGAATCCAGCCATGCTTCCACGGGATCCCCGGGCTTGTAGCGGACAGCCTCCTCGACTTCTCGCGGAGGATCATGGGGCTTTAAAGGGATCTACAAGGGTTCCTTTAAAGGGATCTATAAGGGTTCCTTTTAAAATTCCTTTAAAGGGATCTATAAAGGGTCCTGTACAGGGATCCACAAGGGCTTCAATAATTACCCAAAAGGTAGTTCCTTTTGGGGGTTTGTATATAGAATCCTATGGGGTAATCCCAAAAAGGAACTACTTTGGGGCCCCTGGGTAGTGAGGAGGGTTTTAGGTTTTGGGTTTCAGAAGGTTTAAGGTTTAGGATTCAGGGTTGTAGCTACCTGAGCGGGGGTACATTTAGTAAGAGGTACAGTTGCAGTATTTATAACACCAGTTACTAAGTCCCAAGAACCTTTAAGCTGGGAGGCAAGGGTTGGGGGTTTTACAGAGGGTTAGGGCTTAATCGCTTTTGGGGTTTCTGGTTTCGGGTGGTTTAACCTGTTGGGCTACTGCTGTAAATTACGTATGCTTTCAACTTTTGAGGGTTTAGGGCTCTGTGAGAACCTATAGGGTTCAAGAGGGTGCAATAGGCCTTCATAAGGGGTCGACAGAAGGATCCGTACAGGTCTGGCCTCCTTTAGGAGAACCTGCTTTTACCCTAAACCCTATAAGCCCTAAACCCTTAAACCCTAACCCTAAACTTCGTAAACCCTAAACCCTCAACACTAAACCCTAAACCCTCAACCCTAAACCCTAAATCCTCAACCCTAAACCCTCAACCCTAAACCCTAAACCCTCAACCCTAAACCCTAAATCCTCAACCCTAAACCCTCAACCCTCAACCCTAAGCCGTGTCTTCTGTGTAGCACTAAGGCCCCTAGGGTTTTGGCGGGTTTGGCGACTCCGGGGTTGACGGGTGTAGTATAAGGGTTTAGGGTTTTGGGGTTTTAGGGTTTAGGGTTTTGGGGTTTTAGGGTTTAGGGTTTTGGGGTTTTAGGGTTTAGGGTTTTGGGGTTTTAGGGCTTAGGGTTTTGAGGTTTTAGGGTTTAGGGTTTTGGGGTTTTGTTGGGTGGGTTTAGGGGTTTGGGGTTTTAGGGTTTAGGGTTTTGGGGTTTTGTTGGGTGGGTTTAGGGTTTTGGGGTTTTAGGGTTTTAGGGTTTAGGGCTTTATATATGGCTGCCAAGCTATACAAGGGATCTAAAAAAGGGGCCCTAATTTAGAGAATTGCCCATATTGAGGTTTAGGGTCCGCGGGCCTGAACACGAGCTGGGCAGACAAAGGCGAAGCTGCTTCAAAAAGCCCGGAACCCGAGATTTCAACCATTTCCCTTGCAGCCCAAATCTGGGCTGAAGGGATTTTGGGATTGGTATAGACTCAGGGTCCAAGACGATAAAGGGTTAAGGGCTTATGGTTCAGGGAAACGGGGTTTGGGGGTCAAGGCTATCACACGGCGGCTTGAGCAATGCTGACCCCTCCTGCAAGCACAGTTTCACGAACTCCCGCTCGGAAACACCGTCGGGGAGCGTCGCATGCCGGCAGACCTACGAACAGCAAACGCACCCGGCCATGAAGCAGTGTGCAGGACCAAGAAAGTTCAGTGAACATCTGAATGAACGGACGTCGTGCCCTGGATCGCTACCTCGGCTGAGTCTGCGCTGAGCTCTTTGAAGACCTTCCTTGGTTCAGGCAACAGAACGTGAAATCCTGTGCGGTCGTGAACAGTACTGAACCATGAAAACCCTTCGCACCACCAAAATCAAGCGGCGCAAACGGACACCCCAAACTACGGTACCGGGCGCCCGTCAGCTTCTGGAGTCACAGAATCAGGCCATACACATGAAGATCTAAGCCCTATAACTTTTCTTTCATCTTCTTTCATTGTCCGAGCATCTCCTCCACTGCTGCCCCAGTGCCTTCTGCCCCCGAAAGAGTACCAAGAAGCCTGGGTGTTACAGGGTTGTAAGGGTGCCATAAGTTTCGACATCGCTGAACAAGAAGCAATTCGAAGACCAAAGTCCAGAGAGAGGCCACGAGTTTCAATTGTTTTATGAAGCTGTGAGGTGAGCAGGTGCAGTGGCTGACACAATGACGGCCAAGCAGTTTGAGAGATGCAATGCAGAAAACACAGACGCCCTTCTAGCAATTAATATGGTTAAGAAGCTCCCCCGAAAGGGATCCTTCGCATATAAAGAAGCCCCGTTCAGCGGGCTTTTTGAATACCTAGAATCTATAAACCCTAAACCTGACCTAAGCCTGCCAAATCCATCCTCGACACGCACCTTCCTAAACCCTAGCTTTCGGGACACATGGCCCGGCAAAGAATTAAAAGCTAAACCCCCGACTCAACATTTGAGGGTTCAGGGTTTTAGCTGTTTAGGGTTTTCAGGGTTTTGGTTTAGGTTGAAGGTCTGACCCTTGAAATCTGCACCTTTAGACCCACAGCAGGCAACAAGGAGAGGTTTTCGTGTGTCAGCGAGTACAGCTGTTGCAGACTCAAGAGATCTTGCCAGCAAAGTCAAGCCTACGCCCTAGAACCTAAAGCTTCAGCTTTAAACTTACAAAACCTCAACCCCACCTCGACCCCCCCAACTGCCAACTAGCCCTTAAAAGGGATCTCTTATTCCTCATCACGAGGTAGTCTGCGATACAAGCCTATAAGCCCTAGATAGTCTCAAACTTCAGCGGCTGCACAAGCACCAACCAGGACTTCACGGCTGGCAGGCTTCTCTTTCCGACCGGGCTGCGGGGTTGTGGAGAGGCAAAGACTTGAAAGTCTCGACAACTTCCAAAGTTTGCGAATCCAATCTGTGCCCCTTTCCGAACCAGGATGTCTAGCATCAAGATGCGTGTGATGCAAAGTGGAGAGCTGTTCTCCAGTCTTCGCTTCAAAGCACTCTGGCATCTTTCGCACGTCCCGACATGAAACTTAGGCAGTCTAGCATCAGCAACCTTAAGCCCAGTAGTGCCCGCAGAGACACCGCCGCGAAAAGTCCCAGTGTTCGAGCAAGCAATCTCCGGAGATTTAGAAGATAACCTCTTTCAGGTTAGGGTTTAGGGCCTAGGGTTTAGGGCTTTGTTTTAGGGTTGCCTTGCCAACCAACCGTGCCCGCTGTTTTGAACCTATCGAGTACGGCTGTCTCATTATACTCAAAAGTCCAAATGGAAGTTCAAGGAACTATTGAAAAACCGAGGCCGGGAGTCCAAAGTACCCTAAACCCTAAACCTAAACCAGGACTTTTGTTGACCGGGAGCCCTTGGCAGGACGCTTGCTTAGATCATGTAAGGGCCTGAATACGATTTCTATAGGGTTTAGGGTTTAGGGTTTAGGGTTATAATCAAGCAGCCTCTGTACTGGAATCTGAAAACTGGCGTAAGGCACGTTGTGAATCTACACGGGCTGCAGCCTATCAACTAATGCTGGTGAGTATACGGGCTCCCCCACTGGGCATCTTAGAATACTTAACTTACTATCATGGTCCTACATGTGAGACGGACTCTAAACTGCAAACCGCAAACCTTTTTTAAGACCAAAGCAAACCTTGATTTTGGCATGCCGCGTTGCAGTATCAGCGGTGCGGGCGCCACCAACAGCCTCGGTCGGTGAAGCGTAGGAAGAAGCATGACGTAGTCGTGGCAGGGTCTGTGGCTTCGGGGCCATAGGTGGTTGCAGAGATTTAGGTGGCCTCTCGTCTGGACTTTAGACCGTGGCTGCAACTGACCAAGGGGTGTGGCGCTTTTGAGGCTGAGAACATCCAGATTCAATCAAGCGGCTGGTGCAGCTGCGGAATCGGGAGTGAGGCCATCTCATCAACGACGAGCACCTGTTGAAAAAGGTGATTTTGCGAGTCCCCTGTGAGAGTCCTCAATCCCGGTCCGTTGTGTCAATTGCGAACTCCCTGTAGCATTGTTCCTTGTCGTAAGCTACAACTGCAACGGGTATCCGTAGTTCAAGTAGGGTTAACTACCACCACGTATGTACTGACTAGAGGTGGACAGCGCAAATGCCTACACAGGCGCTACATACAAATCCAAACTAGCTCTAACTCTCAACCTCAAAACCGTACTACAACCTTCGACTCGACGTCCTAGAACCCCTAAGAGCCCTAAACAAGACCCCCTTGAAGCCCTCAAACCCAAAAAGCCCTCAGCTCCAAAGCCCTAAGCCACCCTAAACCCTGACCAATCGCTGAGGCGACGACCGGTGCATCATTCACCAATGCCAGGGCGGAAGCAAAGCCCGGGATGGCTTCCTTTGCAATGTTTAGGGTTTGGGGTTAAGGTTTACAGCATCCGGTTTGGGGTTTCGATTTGGTTTAGGAGACGCGCCTAGACTATAAATCCCAGGCTATATTATCAGGGATATGGCTTGCCGCATTTGATCCCCGAGCTGCTTTCTGCAGCTATTGCTCCATGTATGTCGGGTCCACAGTCAAAGGTGGTTTACACATGCACCTGCTTCATGACCCCCAATACCAACAAAAACACTGTGGCCGCTGACTCTACCGCGCTGAAGTGCTGCGGCTTCGTCTCTATAGCCTAACTGGTCCCAAGTTAAAGTCTCAGTTACGGAAAACTGCATCCTTCCCTAAACCTGACGGTAAACCCTACACCCTTGATCAAAAACTGGTTCCCTCCCATACTTGCGGAGATCCTTTGCACCTACATCTAACACGAATCCAGTCGAGTACTTCTCCGCGGACCTCAAGCCAAAGTCCGAAAATTCAAACCAAACCAACCAACCCTAAATTTGAGTTGTTTTTTGGGAGGGGGGGCATTCTTGCTGAGGCTCGGCGGGCAGGTAGCGTGCCCGAGCGTGAGACAAGGTCGAGCATGACACCTTGAGTGTCATAAGCCGGGAGTGAGGGGTTACAGTAACCAATTCTAGGGTTGAGTGTGCAGAGGTTTGGTTTCTAGGGTATCGAGTCGAATATCGCAACATTCGAACAAACAGGCAGAAATCTATCAGTACGTCTACATAAACTGCAGAAGGCGCATGCTGAACAATGCCGACTCGAACTCCTAATTCTGCGGACATGTTTGTTGCTTTTGTGTTTTCAGCATCGCGGTTTCGTCTTGCATATCCGGGGTATTAAGGCCTGCTCAGCAAGATCAAGCGTGCCTACAGATATCGCAGTCCGGATGAGCCCTGGAATCAGAGAACCTGAATCCTTCAATTCTGAACCCCAAACATCCCCAAAAACCTAAAGCCCTAAACCCTAAACCCTAAAATCCTGAAAACAAGGCCCTAAACCCGAACCCTGAACCCTAAACCCTAAACCCTTAAACCCAAAACCCTGAACCCTGAGTCCCGAACCCTACCTGCCCGAACTCGCAAGCCCTGAAACCTCAGACCTGGCAGATGGATCAGCCCCCCACCTCTTCCACCTTCGAGGCCTACCTATAGTCTCCATTGTGGTTCCTTTTTGGGGTTACCTTTTAGGATCCTTAATATAAAATTGGTTAAACCGGTTAAACCAAAAAAAGGAACTACAATGGAGACTACAGGTAAACCCCAAAGCTCAAAGCCTACCAGGAACCCCCCAATGGCCCTTGAATGGAGCTGTTATGGCCCTTAACAGTGGGGATTTAGAGTACATGAGAGGCTACTAGTAGTTGGGGAGTCTAAGCAAAAGCCCGTTCAAACAGCTTCAAGGATTCCAGGCCATGAAGACAAGCCCTACACTCCCCACACTGCCTTAACCCTTCATCTCTAAACCCCGTGTTCTAAACTCCAAACCCCATTGATACAGGGGCCTTCATAATTAGAACAGGGTCTTGGGGGGTACATCATACTGTAAACATAAAAGGGAGCCCTACCATAATACCGATAACTGATAATTATTTAGGCCTTTACAAATGAGTGGTTGTCAAGAAATATGGCCCTTTTGGGATCCCTAGTATAAGAATACCCCAAAAAGGGACCTTCATTTTGACAACTACCCAAACCCAGACCCCCCCAAGGATCCAAAAAGTAGATCCCTTAATGGGGGTTCCTATAAAGTACCCTTACTAGTATAGGGCCCCCAAAGTAGGGGATCTACTTTCTAGATCCTCCCAAGAGTCTGGGAATTAAACCCTAAACCCTAAACCCTAACCCCTAAACCCTAAACCCAAACCCTAAACCCTAAACCCTAAACCGCCGAGGAGCCTCAGGCGCCGGTACTCCCATGGCCCGAGCGGCGAAGCGGAAGATGCCCTGGACGCCTCAAAGCAGGAAACGCCCTTTTCAGGGTTTATAGGCGGTTTAGGTCTATAAGGGTTCTACGATTGAGGGCTTAGGGATTATAGGGGTTTAGGGTTTAAGGGGTTCTATAATTGAGGGTTTAGGGTTTTTGGAGGTTCTATAGTTGAGGGTTTATATAGGGTTTCAGGGCTTCCTGAAGTGCGGGGTTTCGGGGGTTAACAAGGGTTTTCTAGGCTTTAGCAAAGTGTGTACCGTGTCAGGGTTGCTAGAAGAACTCTGTAAAGATTACAACGATAGCTAGATGGGATCTGCGGTTTGGACTCAGGGGGTTCCAGGATGTAGGGTGGGGAACTAACCCAAAGGCTCTAAGGACTCGCATGTTACGGCTTTTGGGCCCAAAGACCATACTATATAGGGCTTTTGTGCTATTTTGAGCCTTAGGGTATAAGGGTTGGATTGGGCCTCGTCCATGTTCTCGCGCATCTGGCGCCAGGCTCAGAGGACGAAACAGATTCGGGGAAGCTGGCCGAACGGTATAGGGCTTTGCTTAGGGTTTAGACACTCCACGCTCGTGAAGTCGATTCCGCCTGAAACCCTGAAGCAATTTTCCAACAACCTGGGAAGCCAAACGTTCGCTTTACCCAGGCCGTGTTTATCGATCGCCTTCTTGTTTCCCCTCTGAACCCGGGAACAAGCCGCAGGGCCAAACTCCCCAAAACCGAAGCCCAATGCAGCAGCGACCCCTGAGGCTCTGAACTCCGATCCTGCAAAGTACATACTGAACCTAGATACAGCCCTCAGCCTGTATCCTCGAATCCTCCAGAGCATACTCCGAAACGGTCAACCCTCCACCATTCTTGAAAGCCCGAAAACCCTCTTCGACTGAAAACTCTACAACCCACAACCCTTCACCCCCGTTTTTTGCCGCGGTGCTGTTCCGAGCCGGTCCGGTGACCACGACATTCCGACCGCACTGCAGAGCAGCAGCAACGAAAAGCCCTGCTCTCGGACAGGTAGGCCGGGTGTTGTATAGGATGTCATACGGAATGAACTGAGTGCACATTATTCATCGGGTGCTTTGCGTTTTGGCACTTGGGGGCTTTCGGGCTTAGGCTTGAAGTGGTTTGGGGCAGGGCTTAGGGCTGAGAAGAGGGTCCGTTTTGGGGGCGGCTGCGGGACGGTGTTGCGAGCAACATAACCCTATGCTTTCAAGGACCTTACAATCAGGGCCCTAGAGCCCTTAAAGACCCAAAAATAAGGGCCCTGGAAGGCCAGGGTAATTTACCGCATACAACCGTTAACATCTTGCCATCCAAAGCACGAGTTCGCACCCCACAGCCATAACAAAGCATGAACTCCCAAGCAAACGGCTGAAGCCTTGTCAACACCTTCCTCTTCGAGTCTGAACCAGACAAACCTGAAACCTCCAACCCCGACCAATATCGGCTAAATGCGAGGTTCCGAAAATTAGGGGTACCGTACTTGGGGTCCTTAATTGCAATAAGGATCCTCTCATTTGGGGTGCTACATGAGGGCCCCCTATTCTCGGAAACTCCCAAATTGCAAACTGCATCAGCTTACAGCACGAAGTGTCCGCAGAGCCCATATGGAGGCTTCCGAAAATAGGGGACCCCAATATAGCACCCTGAATTGTAGGATCCCCCGAAATAAGGTACCCCTAATTTTCGGAAACCCCCATATCTATGTTGAACGGCACGCTGCAGATTCATCTGACCCTGGATCTCCCCGATTGGCCGGCGATACACCCTACCTATAGTCTCCATTGAGTTCCTGTTTGGGGATCCAAAAACCTACCGTTTTAGGGGTTAGACCCTATAATTTAAGGGTAATAACCCACTAGTCTATAGGGTTTGGGGTCACAGGTTCGGGGGGTTACCTTTTAGGATCCTTGATATAAAAATGGTTAAACCAAAAAATGGAACTACAATGGAGACTACAGGTACTCGAGAAGTTCTAGTGACCTCACAGAAGCAATACATACCTTTTGGTGGCCAAACCCTAAAAAGCCTAAAACCCGAAACCCCAAAAGCCATGATGCCGGATCCCCCAGGTCCGCCTGCAACAGAGGACTTTCCACGGCCACGCCGGCCGGTAAGAGACAGGACAGTCTGACCTGTGAGTTGGCTTTTCAATAAAACAAAAAAATTGTTTTGGCTGGTTCTTGGAGGAGTTTCTTGAAGGTTCTTGAAGGATTCTTTCAAGGTTGTCCAGGGCTTTTTGTAGCAGTTTTGAGGGGTTCTGTAGGGGCTCGTTACTTTGTGAGTGTGTTCCGGCTTGGGGCTGACCCATACAAGTCCATGTAGCGGTAGGGTACTATGGAGCGTGTACTTCAGCGTTAAGAAACCGTACAGGTTTGAGGGGTTGGCGGGCTTTAGGGCTGTGTGGCTCTGGGTTTTCGGGTAAAGGGCGTAAAGTTTCGGGGGGATGGGGCTTGGAGCACAGCTTCCTGAGATCTGGTAGGGTTCCCGAGAGTAGGAACCAGGTGCCCTGCAGGGAGGTCGAAAAACGAGACGCAACACACACGCGCACACACACACACACGATACTATACTATCAGTAGGCTTCAAAACAGCTATCGCCGTTATCGTTATGTTTGACGAGCCTTTTGTGGACATTCCCTAACCCTGCCTCAGACGCGCTAGACTTCAAACCTGTGGTTTCGCATGTTTTCACAACAACGCCGGAGAACCCATAACTGCAAAGCCTATAACCCCGAACTTGCCCTAAACCTCTGTACCTTCAAACCCCTAAGACCTGCATCGCTCAAGCCCACACGGGAAGCTGCACCGTAGGAGGTATCTGAGCTAGAGGGCATTAATTAGGGTTTTCGGGCGTGCGGGGTTTAGGGTGAAGAAGTCTCTGCATGAAAAGTCTCGAACACCCTGTGAAGCCATTCACAACCATTCAAAAGCATGATTCTCTGGGCCCCCTGGCGCCCCTTGCTGGCCTGTCCCGCAGCCACCAAAGAAGCCTGAAGCCTCGTAAAGGCCTGTGCCGAAAGGTTTCTTCTTTAGCATCGTAGAAGGGTATAGGGTTGAGATTCTAGACACGAGCAGTCTAGCGGGGTCGGTTAGATAAGGAAGCAGGTATATCCCGAGCACGATGCCTGTATGTTCACGGCATGCATTCGCACGATAGACTTTGCGCGTATACACAGCATACTATATATGCATGTGGTAATGTATACATATACATACATATATATATATATATATATATGTATATATATATATATATACGTGTATCTATGTATATTTTTTAAAACTCAGTATAAGCGGCCCACAAATATGAAAAAAATAAGACATGAATCCGAGCAGGAATCACAGACAAATGAATGAACTAACAAGTATCAGTTCAATATACATCACATACATACATACATACATACACACATACATGCATACATGCATACATACGAATGAAATTTCGGAATCCTGGATGTCACCGAAGCCTTCGGGTGTGTAATACTTTAGCGGCAACACCGGCAAACCGCATACAGGCGAGAGCAGCTAATCACGTTTTGATGGCGATAGTAGCAGCAATCTGGCCACTGATGTTTGTCTTCAGATGAAGCGCTAACTAAAACTAGCAAGAAACATGGTCTGCAAATCTACACATAAAAAGAGTCAACCCAAACCCCAAACCCCAAATCCGGTGTCCTGAACCCTAAACGTCCTGAATATGAACTCGATGCTATGCGCCCCAAACCCCAAATCCAAAGTCCTGACCAGTGCTGAACACCCCAAACCTACTCAGCAAAAACCTTGCGTAAACCTCAAGCTCTAAGCCCCAAGCCCTGAATTCCGAATCCACTGCGCCTTTAACCCCCAAACCTTCACCCTGCCCTACCTATGGCGCATACCCTATCCCTTTGGTAGGATACCGAGCTTTTTGGTTGGGATCTGTTATATAGAACAGTATAGATGCCTAAACAAAGAGGTAGGGTATGAGCCTACAGGTACACCCTACTCGAACACTAATATCGTGGCATTGATGGTTACAATAGGGTCTGAGGGCCCATTATACCATAAATATACTATATAGGGATCCCCCCCAAAAAAGGAGAAAAAAAAAACAACATGCATATATATATATATATATATATATATATATATATATATATATATTATATATATATATATGTATGTATGTATATATGTATATATATGTATATATGTATACATGTATATATGTATATTGGTAAGTATGTAGGCCCCTATATTAACAAGGAAGCCCGGCCTTCCTCTGACATGCTGTGCAGCAAAGTTCCAGAAGAGCATCCGTGGCCTCGGAGCGGCTTAGGGTTAGGGTTTATGGGTTTAATGGATCTATAGGGTTCCTTTAAGGGTTCCTTCAAGGGATCCTTTAAGGGTTCCTTTAAGGGATCTATAGGGTTTATGGGTTTAGGGTTCAGGGTTTAGCTTCTTTTAAAAAAAACTGTTTGCTTTTAAACCGGGTGCAGGGTTTAGAGTTGTTTTTTTAACTGTTGGTTTTTAAACTGGGTTTAGGGTTTAGTTTGTTTTTTAATTGTTTGCTTTTAAACTGGGTGTAGGGTTTAAGGGGCTTTCGGTTTAGGGCTCAGGGTTGGGGGCTTAGGGTTGAGGGTTTAGGGCTTAGGTTGGCTTGTTGCTGCCCTTTGTGTTGCGAGCCCTTTTCCCAACTTCGCTTAGCCGGGCTTGGGATTTAGGGGTTAGCGCTTTTTTGTAGTTCTTGTAAGGGTTGTGTAGGTCTCTGACGCAAATGTAAACCACATGGAGTATTTATGCAAGTGTTCAGGCCTCTGTACTCAAGCGTTAGAGAGCCTTATGCACCTCACTGCAACCCTTAATAACCCGTCGGAGAACAGCTATAAAAACGCTCACGAAACCTCTGAGTAAACAATGTGCCGTCATACCTAGCCATACTTAGACTAGACTTTGGTGGTACGTTCTCTTCTCTCCTAAACCCTCACAGCCCAGAACCGTTATGGAACTGTTGCTGAAACCCGAGAAGGAACCTCCTAGGTTACCAGGATTCTACAAGCTTCCAATCCCCCGGTCCGGCTGCGGACCTCCGGCGATGTCTGCGGCTCCAGGGACGGCGGTGTCAAACTGGCGGACAGACCTGTGACACTAGATTATTATGTTCTATAATAACATATTCTATTCTTTTTTTATATATTTATAAATATATATATATATAACTATGGTCCATTACATAGTGTAGTAAAGCATAGAAGAGAATCGCAACTTTGGTGCGGTAGGGTATGGTATGATTTGGTATACTTTGTTCAGCTATACTATGTCAATTAGCTTGACTTGGAATAACCATTGGATGAAACTAGATTCGGTTAGAGTAAAAATCATTGAAAACAGGTTAGGTTTGCAACTCTATCCTATGCCGGCTACTATGTGTCTCAGCAGAATACCTGCTAGAGTTCAAGGCTCTCAGACTATGATGGGAACGCAGCAGGGGAGCTCTTGAAATCAGTCGGTTACTGCTAAAGCGCACTGTGACGAGGAACCTCGAGTGCACCCTGTGTAGACTTCTGGGGGAACCCCTCCTCCAAGACAGGATGGAAAGACGGTTTAGGGTTTAGGGTTTTGGGTTTAGGGTTTTGGGTTTAGGGTTTCGGAGCAACTGCAAGATCAATGCTCTTGAAGAGCGGTTTCGGGTTTAGGGCATTGTTGGTCCGGGGTCAATGAAAGACTGGAGCATCTAGAAGCTGTTTTCAAACCCTGTTAAAGCCCTATCCTGGCACACTACAGAACCCCAGGAACAACCTGCAGAAACATCTTTGGGCAACCTTTGCAGCTCTATAACGCCGCCGCTCCAATGCAGCAATGCACCACAAATTCTGGTATTCAAAACAGCAGAGGTTCAAATCAATGCCAGCAACACGCAAGCCCAAAGCCTCAATCATACTCCTCTAAAGCTTTACACTGCTGCATTAATGTAGCTTCAAAAACTCGGGGTATGCCTTTGTATGCCCTGAACCCTAACGTTCCGGAGCCTATCTGCTTTGTCGAGAGCAGTGTGAGGGAAGCATCCACGAATCCACACACTGGCCTTTGTGTTCTCTTTCAATCGTGGGGGTTGGGAACTGTTAGCTTCACACTGTCTGCGGGGTTGAGGGTGTAAGTTCTTGGCGCTTGCGGGATTATTCGAAATGGATTACTAAGGCTTACGGTTTACATGCTGACAGGCTCTCGCGCTAGTTATTTGGGCGCAATGCAAGGGCTAATCAGAATTAATTGCGAATTGGGCTGTCCATGGCTGAGTTCATCACGGTAAAAGGGTTCAGGCACTGCAGGGCAACGGGGGTTTCGGGTTCAGGGTACTTCAGTGCTGGGGGCTAAGTGGAAGAGTGAAGCATTCACAGGCGAGGGCTGGACAACGAAGTTGGTCGTTCAACATTAGATCCTTCGCGTCCCTGGCATGACATATCTGTTGTGTCTAACACCTCGTTCGTGGCATGCAAGGGCAAACAAAAATATCGAGGATGCCGAATACCCTCCTCGTTTGGGACGCGTGCTCAGCACAGATCTACATTGTGAATCCTGCAACCACGAAATCTTGAAGGGGTGGGCTCTTGGTTTTATGTGGGATTAATAGTTTATCGCTTCGGGCTTGACGGCCCGCTCCTGGCCCAAAACCGGTCCCTATTAAAGCTAACGACTTAACGAAGCACGCCCTAATTCAGCTCAGAACCAACATCCAGGCAAATTCGAACTCGTATTGCCAACTACTTTCTTCTTCGTAATACTGCATTTCGAAAATAAGAGCAGCAAGTCTACCGGAGAGGAGGGGCGGGGTTGGGTTCGATGGGTTGCGTTGCATGCGGCATGTTGGTGGGTCAAGCTGCCATGGAAAAAAAACACAATACAGTATGACAGTGGCATCACCGACAGCTCTGAAACAATGATTGTATACGGCATGCAGCTCTCTGTGGTTTGGATTCACTGGGATACCACAAAGCTTACCCCCAAACACCAAATCCAAGGTTAAGCACATCAGGCTTATTAGTATTATTGTTAACATTTTTGCTTCTATAACAGTTGTTGTTATGATGATTATTGTTGTTCTGACTATTCGTAACTAAAAGTATTACTATTGATATTATCCATGCCCCCATCCTTCGATGTGTACGATGAGGCGAAGGGCATCTGCCACAAGCTCTGCACGATGCGAGGCAGCAGTGCCTTGTGGCTTTTCACAGCTGCAGGCTCAGCAATACTATCTAGACCATGTCCCAACAGACTCCAATATCCCTTAAGTTGATTAAGGAATATACTATAAAGTATAATAAGACCCGTAATATGATCTAAGGTCCATTCCGTAACTGAGGATATTGGGGCCTCTGGGTTATTGTAAAATACTCTGTCGCCTTTATCTCGCCTCAGCAAAGGCCGTGCTCGAAAACTGTGACATTCGCACAGGGCATCGCCAGACACAAAACGAATCAAGAAGATTTCGTTGATGAATCATAACCAAGGAAAGGTTAAATGCTGGAGCTGGTGGTGGTTCAGTTCCTGTCTGTCCCGCCTCTAGCTGCATGATTAAACGGATGGGTTCTAGTCCCAAAGTCCCTACGGTTGATGATACCAATCCTGCATTACCCATAATAAGGAATATACCATGATTCCCATAGTCTAGGGTCCTTGGGGTAATGCAGGATTTACATCAGCAACAGTAGGAAGAGCCCCTATCTGCTACGAGCTCCCTAAACCCTTAGGATGACGAGTCGCCTCCCCCAACTTCTGATCGGCATCGGGCACGATGTCAGCCGCCTTCGGCAAGGGACCAAAGCATCAGCCGAAGGTATACCCAGAGGGGTTCAGGGTTTAGGGCTGCCGGTTTGGAGTTTTAGGGTTTTGCCTTTAGTTTAAGGGTGTTGGCTGTTGAAGCATTCATGTACTAAACCCATCTGCAAAAAATCAGAAAATACTCACAATGAAACGTCTTCTTGTGGCCAGCATGTTATGACCACAAATCAGGAGATGAGCTCAAGAACAAGTAGCAACTTCTAAGGCTCTACGGGGAATGGGTTGACCAATTTGCTCTGTGAAAAAGTGCTTTGAGGTATCAGGCCCTTCGAGAACTGACATGTGTTCATCCTGTTGCAGCCTTGACGATGCTGACGCTGGACAGCTGGCGCAACCTGTGTATTCTAAATAACGTGAATCCTCGATACAGGGATTTCCATAGCAAAGAGCCCGTCAAGAATCCCGAAGTAACATTGAAGCATGCATAGACTTAAAACCCAAACAACAGGAATCGAAAGTGGGTAGAAGTTGTGACTACCAAAGGTTCCTACGGGCTTGTGCAAAAGTGCCAAAGCAAGTCTTGTCACGACGTCATGAGGCCAAATTCCTAAATCTTCAATCCGACCCCTCCCCCCAATCCCAAACTCTAAACCCCTAAATCCTAAAATCCCGAACCCCCTGAACCATAAACCCTAAACCCCTTAAATCCTAAACCCCAAACCCTAAACCGTAAACCCGGCTTCGGGGCTCAAGGTCGGAGCCTCTTCTTGCAGCGCACAGCATTTTGTCCTTCATGTGTTGTGGGAGTCAAGTTTAGGGCACAACTGGAATAGGGTTTGAGGCACAGTGTCGTGTATAACAGAGAAGGAACCCCGATAAACAAAGCTAGTCCCCACTAAACTAAGACCTTCCTGGTCCCTGACCTCCCTATACGACTTCAGAAGGTGCATCGCAAGAGGTTATGCTTCCAAGCCAGCCCACGGGAGTAATGTTTTTCTTATGTTCGCCCTTGCAGCAAGTCGTGCAGCAACCCTAATAACTACTCTTATCTTATAGTAATCCTTAGTAACCCTGCTAAAGAAACTGAACATTGGTGTTACTAGCATGCTTCTACTAGTAAACTAGCATGTCCATAGGGATACGAAGTAGCATCAATTAGCCTAAAAAAGTATGTCTACCCATCGAAGAAGGCAAGCATCAGGTGGAAAATATTTCGCACGCTGTGTGAGCGCTGTGGTCTCAGCAGACTGATGCTGGGAATTCTGTGAAAAGCCGGCCACAGATTAGTCAACTTTACTTGAGGATCTGAATTTACTAACATGTGAAAAGCACACCATGAATACACTGCCCGTCCTAAGCTGATACGGGGCCGCATCGGTGATGCCGACATGGTGAGGGCGATCTGGTCCACTACTCCCATCACAGGAGCAGCGCTTACTACTTCTCGTCATAGTGGAACGAGGTGTCGATGGCGGTAGATGAAATCCAACACCACCAGCGATACAAACAATCAGCTTTTCTTCCATACAAGGCCGGCTGGACGGTGCGTGACCCCTCCATCGGCTACGTTTTGACTTCCATGCAAAGGAAGGCTTTATTGAAGCCCTCGGTCAAGCCCGAAAACCCAAGCCAGCTGACAGCTAAGCGTCTCTGTCAGCTCCGGCGGGAGGACCAGGCAGACCTGAGGACGTTAGCCATAACCAATCCGAAACCCAACACATCCCACACTCTGCTCTAAAGCCACGTCACGAAACCTCCCAATAAACATACATACCCCTGCTAGGGACGATTGCTGCGGCCCCCCCCCCCCCCCCGCCGCCCAACGGCAAAGCTAACAAACTTGAAGGCACCTGCATAACCTAACAGTCTTCTCAAACTCATATGCAATCACTACCACATCACAAGCGCAAACGCAGGAAACGTGCATACAAAACACAACAATCCTACACATAACGATACCTGTCAAAGCCATGCGTATGTAGATGTGTGCGTGTTGTATATTTATATACGTGCTATAAACATTGATGCCAAGCGGCGACACCACCTCCCTGGACCGTCTCGCAAGCTGACCACAGCGTCTCTGGCGAAGACATCGGCACATCGAAGAAGACCTCAGTCAGGAATCAGGGTATACTGGGTTGGCCCTTTACAGCATCTGAAAAATATACGTAAATAGGGTCCTATTAAGCCCAATAAGTGAAGATATAATATGTCCCAAAGGCCTACAGGGTATAGGACATCGGACAAGGATTAAGTTTTAGTATTGAGAGTTTGGGTTTAGGGCTTCGGGTTAGGATTAAGCTATCCTTATGCTTCCAGGGACCTTATGATTTGGTGCTTGAGGGATCTAGGGCCCTAACCGTATGGTCCTTGGAAGCATAGCGTATTGTAAAGGCTTGGCGATTCTCAACGACCGCAATTTCGGGGATCCTAGGAGGCCTTGTAAGCCCACACCCTGAAACCCCGATCCCTGAACCCCACCCTGAGGCTCCTGGACCCTTGTAATGAGATCGCGAACCCTAGCCGCCAAAGCCGAAACCCTCGCCCAGCAAGCCCAACACCCTCTTAGGATTAGGAGCCTTAGGTCAAACCCTAAACCCAAACCCCCATACCCTATAACCCCAACCCCTAAGCCCCAACCAAACCCCTGAACCCTGAACCCGAAAAAACCCTCCTGAACCCTTAAACCCCAAAACCCCTAACCCTACTAAACCCCTAAACCCTATAGATCCCCCCTAAACCCTATAGATCCCTGAGAGGAACCCTTAAAGGAACCGTATAGATCCCTTAGACCCCAAACCCCAAACCCGTAAAGCCTAAGACTCTAAGACCCAAACCCTACTAAACCCCTTAAAGGAACCCTTCAAGGAACCCTACAGATCCCTGAAACCCAAAACCCCAAACCCCACTAAACCCCTAAATCCTAAAGATCCCTGAAAGGAACCCTCAAAGGAACCCCTATAGATCCCTTAAAGGAACCCTTAAAGGAACCCTATAGATCCCTTAAAGGAACCCTTAAACCCCTGACCTTGGACCGCTTGCTCAAAAGCCTGGACGAGGTACGCAGGCGCCGAAGGTTCCTGTGCAAACTCTGCCGCTACTTCACAGGGATGTTCTTAGGTTTCCTTTAAAGGGATCTATAAGGGCTCTATAAGGGATCTACCTATAGTCTCCATTGTAGTTCCTTTTTCTGGTTTAACCAAATATATAAGTAGGATCCTATAAGGTAGCCCCCAAAAAGAAATACAATGGAGACTATAGGTACTTAGGTTTCCTTTAAAGGGATTTATAAGGGCTCTATAAGGGATCTTGAGGGTTTAGGGTCTGGGATTTAGGGTTTAGGATCTGTTGCTATCAGAGGAAACCAACAGTAGTTCATTCTTATGATCGTCATGGCAATAACGAAATACCACTATCGTTGTTGCTGTCATAATGAAATAACTAGCGAGAAGAGTAGCGTAATAAAGGTTTTTTAGTACTAGTATTGTTAACATGATTACCAGTAGTTTTGTTCTTATTACGAATTTGTTATTGTTATATTGTTATGACTATTGTTCATCGTATTTTTGAAGGTTATTATTCTGTACATCTATAATACAGTAATATATATTCTACCATCCAGAGCAACAGCACCACAACACCACCAGCGACAAGAGCGGGGCTTATGTACATTTTACAATTTAAACCCCTCGACCCTAGGCCGTCCGACCCAAACCCCAAATCCGAAACCCTTAAGCCAAAAGCTCAAAGTCAGAGGAAGCACACCCCTGTTGGCTGAGCTCTTTCGCTCTGCTGTTTAGTTTAGGGCTTGAGGGGGTAAGGTTTACAACATCGGGTAGAGCGCTTAGGATCTAGACACGAAATTTATGGTTTTTGGTTTTCAGGCCTTAAAGTTTCGGCTGGGAATGCAGGAACTTGGGTTTCACGGGTTTGCCTGGAATGCAAGCATGTGAAGGACCGACGCTCCGCACTTTCGCTACAAAGGCGAGCTAGCAAAGCAATGATGGTACTGATACAGTTAGCAGCAGCACTGCAATGATAGCAGTGCAAGTCTCAACATGTCTGAATCATTAGCATGACTTTGGGCGAGGCATCATAATACTGTATAGAGCGCACCGCCGAAACAAAAGATGTGTGGAAAAAACGATTTCCATAAGCATTGAATCCGAGGAATTAGGTGAAATCACATTCAAAACACTAAATGGTTCTTCTCGGCGGTCGGCAATCTATCGCAAAATTTATCAAACTTATCCTGGAGAACCTGGGCTTCAAGCTAACTGATGGGGTTCCCAGAGTCCTTATGCCCCATTTGACCATCAAGGAAAAGACGGCGGCTCGTGATTTTTTAAGCTCTCCATGCACAGACGGGGGTGGGCCCCAGCTTGCTGTGGTGATTTTAAGACGCTGCGAAGGAAAACTATATAGCCCCAAGCAACAGCCCAAGACACTGTGCCTCCCAAGCAGTTGTGGTCGTGATCGGCAAACGGCCATTCCACCGCCATCGCATCTTTGGGGAGGATCCTTGAATGAGAAGTCTGTGGTTTATTGCTCCCGGCGAGGAAACATGCAAGCAGTCTAGTATAGGCGTCCCGTACAGCATAGCAGGGCAGCTGATGGTCTTCAGCAGTGCTTGCGGCAGTTGATTGTTGGTCTTGCAGGGCTGGGACCAATGTGGCAATCCTCGGTCTTTCCGCAACCTTGACAGAATTCTTTAAAGCACACCTTTGAAGGAACCCTAGAGTGCATACTCTTCTAAATATCCAGACATGGCGTTGCCTTCACCTTGCCAGATCATTTCGACTCCTCCAACCTCGCCTCATCCTGCAGATCTTGCTTTCGACCCCATGTCTCGGGCTTAGGTAGGGTTTAGGGTTTAGGGTTTAAGCTTTTGGGGTTTAGGGTTGGGAGACTGGTTTGTGAAATCATGAGACACACTCTTTTCTCCAAACAGCTAGTCCCCACAGCCTGACTGAAGGCCATCAAGGCCCAGGTACCCTCCTTTGTGGCTGCACACGAGTGTGGGCAGGCCACCAGTGGCCATCTCCATGACCTGTCAGTTCTAAACCCCTTCGTGCTAAACCCTACCTTGCAGATCATGGGCTGGCGGAACTCACAGAGCGGGGCTCTGCTTCTGATTCTACTACCAGTTGTCGGGCTTACACTCTATTGCGACAATCCCTACTTAGTAGGGTAGTAACTACTACCACTACTACCACTACTACCACTACTACCACTACGGCGACGACGACTACTTTGCACACGATGAAGTGGTAGCAGAAGTACTACTCGTCGTGGTAGTACTGCTCATCGCCGCCACCGCAGCAGCAGGTAATAGTAGTAGTAGAAGAGGTAGCGGTACTAGAAGGCGTAGGAGTAGTAGTAGTAGTAGTAGTAGTAGTAGTAGTAGTAGTAGTAGTAGTAGTAGTAGTAGTAGTAGTAGTAGTAGTAGTAGTAGTAGTAATAGTAGTAGTAGCAGCAGCAGTGGTAGTGGCAGTAGTAGTTGCAGCCGTAGCCGTGGCCGTAGCAGTAGCTGTAGCAGTTGGCGTAGTAGCAAGGCTTACATACTCGAAAACTTGGACACAGGCGCCTGCGCGCAAAGCCGCGGCCGTGCTGCCGCATCGCAGCCCAGTACGGCGACTAGGCAGCGGTGGTGGCACGCCTGCACGAACCCTAAACCCTAAAACTTTCAGCCTTGAAACCCTAACCCTAAAAGCTTGAAGCCCTGAAGCCGTAAACTCCTTAAGCACTCTAGGACCCTAAGCCCCAAAAGCAACAAACCGTGAGGAAACCCTAGTTGGCAGCTGGATTGTTGCCAGTTCTTGGGATGAAAGGTATCTCTGGTTCAGGCCCCTTAACTACAGGGATCCCACGTCTGAATGCTTCAGATGGATAGCGTTCAAGGCTGTGGGCAAGCAACGCCGCCAGCCGACGGGAAAGATAACTCTGTCTACGTGGTCTTGCCCTGTCTTTGCCCATAGACCCCGAACCCTCAATCCGTTCTCAGAAATCCCTGACCATATGGGTCTGCCCCGAACCGGGTTCCTGCGCTGATTTGTTCTTGCCCATGCCTGACGGCTTGAGTCGAACACCTTCCAAAGCAGCTGTATGTTGCTTGGTCTTCAAAGTGGTCCCCATACTAGCAAGCTACTTTCTGGCAATAGAGGCATGCAGCCACGAGGCTTCAGTAATCTAGCACCTGCCTGGGCATGGCGTCTGAGCTCCACCAAACTCCTGATGTCCTCGCGCTCAGGGTTTTCAGGGTTTCGGTGGTTTCTCGAAGATGGCTCTGAAGGCTGTTACTAGGGTTTGGGGCTTACTTACCTCTCCGGCATCCTGTACGAGAGCTCGATTTTACCCTTTGCACTATACGGGGAGTGCAATATCCCAAAAAAGCTCTAAGTTTCCTTATTACCAAGACTAACAGGTTTAGAGCAGCAGAAGCAGCAGCAGTCGGTAGCAGCCGTCGCACCAGTTTTAACACTGATGCAAGAACAATGGAGCCTGAGCTTAGACGCCCCGAAGGTGCATCGTACAGGAGTACATACACGACACGACTCACATGAGTCGAAGGTCTTGCGGCGTAAGGTAGGGGCCTTCATAATCCGCCGAGGCCACAGGCCCAGGCGTATTGGGGTCGGCTCAGGTACCCTCCACCTGTTGTTTTTGCCCCCCGTTCCGCCATCCCGCTGTCCCTCCGTCCCTTGCCCCCCTCCCTCCCGCGTCTGCATCCGCAAATTACAGAAGCAAGTCGATGAGTTCTGTCACAGTGCTGGTCTCCGGCAAGCCGAGGCGGGCGGCGTAGCGATAAAATTAGAATAGTGTCTTAGGGCGCACTATACTACAATTATAATAAAGGAACCCCAAAATAGTATAGGTAATTATTAAAGGCCCCTAGATTACTGGAAACAAACACTGTGTCAAACGCGTGTTTGTATGGTTCCCCTACAGGGTTCATGCATCCATGTCATAACAAAAATATGTTTTGACTTTGATTCCAAAGCACCTGTATGGGAACACCATTAACGCCCTGGTATACTCTTCCCGTGCTGTACGTCTGAGAAGCGCCTGTCCTAAACATGTGGGGTTTTGGACTCTTGCACCTTTGCCCTATTGTTGGAAAAGTCAGAAAGTTCCCCGAATCTTCCAAGCGCGTCGACATGGATACGGCTTGATTCCGGAAGCATGCATGGATAGAAGACCTCTGCTACAGCACAGTGCTTTCGACCACAAACCTAAGACCCCAGACATGGAAAGCCTGACCAAATTATGCAACAACGAACCCGGAAGCCCAAGCCATCCCTCGCCTTTGACTCGGCGGTGCTGAAGCACTCGTTTGGCGCATCTTTGGCGGCCATCGCCGGCACGGACTCTATGGTGTCAGGTTTACGGCCTGACCTCTTACCCCTGAGACAGAAACTGGTGCGAAACTCGTGCCCTCAAGAGTTGAGGTTTGGGATGAGGTGCAGAGGCTGAGCTCTGGGACTTGATGTGCTCTTGCAGATTCACACCCTGAGCCCTAAATGAACCCTCAAAAGCCTGGTAACCTGGGGGCCTCTGCTCCTGGCGACGGTTTTCAGCGCTTGGAGTTCTTAGTGTTTCGGGTTGGCGGTTCAGGGTTTACGGCTTTCGGGGTTTAAAGGTTCAGGGGTTTAGGGTCTGCCAAGCTCGACAACTAACTGTCTGATGTTTTCATGACGTCGCCGGGGTTCGAACCAAGCATAATGGGCTCCGCCGCCTTAGGGGCCTAGCAGAGGGAGGGCAGGGCAGAGGGCAGGTTTAGGGCTTGGGCTTTCGCTTTTGATTTGTTTTGACCCATGCTGCCAGTTACCAAGAGCCTTCCGTGCTTCTTAAAGCACATTGACCTCATATTCCGGAAGATCGTGCCTGGGAAAGGAGAACTAGAGGCAGACATATTTTCATCTTGAGCTCTTGAGCATGCTAGGATACGTTCGTGGCCTTGGGAAGGTCACTTCCCTAAACACAACTAAATCCCCTGAGCCCACCACCCCGCACCAAAAGCTCCGTAAACTCTGGACCCAAACCCCATCCCTCGCAGTCTTCACGTGAAATGTTGCCTCCTAAACCATGAGCACCGAGCCACCTTGACTCTTCGCAAATATGCGTGTAACCGCAATACGAAAGCATCGGCAGCACTATACGGCTAACGTTATACAGTAAGGGTGTCGCCTGAGACAGTAGTATAGAGGCATTCATTAGAAGAGAGTTTGGGCATATTCTAGTACAGTTATAGGGGGACTCGGGGCAACATGAATAACTCTTTTTCAAACCCTCTATTACGACCCCCCTCCCCGATTACGATCTCTTCTCTGAAAACCACAGCCCCTAATATAGGGGCCTTAATAAGTAGAATAGTGTTTTGGGGCCCATTATACTATAACTATTAAAAGGAGCCCCCAAAAACGTATTTTTGATTATTCAAACCTCTCTAGTAAACTCGAAACCGTGCCTTGTTGATCGCAGCGGCATCTGTAAGGCGGAGCTCACCCACAAATCCTCCAGGCAGATGCGGTCATTAAGCTCTCGTCAACCCAATCTAAGTCGAATCCCGAACCTCACCACTCCATTGAAAGAAGGATGAGGGATGCCGTGCAGGTCACTTGATTGTTGATTTTTTCTAGGAATGGACTTGCAAAGGCATGATTCTCGCTTCACTTCTATCGTTGTCGTCATGTCACTATCGAGACTGCGAGTATGGCTAAATCCTCAACTTTAAACCCCAAGACGGACCCTAACCCCCAAAATCTAGGTAAAGGGCAGATTCTCCCAAGCCCCAGGTCCCTAAACCCTAAACCCTAAATCCTAAATGCTAAACCCTAAACCCTAAAACGTAGTTCCCCAAGACTTTGCTGGGCGCAGGGCAGCCGGGAAGTCTCTCCAGTTCTCAAAGGGGAAAAGGAGGGACCCTTAATGGGGACCCCTACCCTAATATGGGCTATACAATGGGTATATAATAGCTATATTAAGGGTATATACCTAGGGGTCCTTATTAAGGATCCCTCCTTTTCCCCTTTGATTGAAGGTGGAGGTAAGCCTCGATACCCAAAGGCTCCCATATCCCTGAATTGAGGAATATACCTTAAACTATAGTAGGGGTCCTGCTATAATTAATATAAGGTCTATTCAGAGTCTATTCCTGAATTAAGGGATATTGGAGCCTCGATAGGTCACAAAGGCCGAAGGATGATCCCTCAGGTTCCGGTGAGGGTCCCTCAGCACTTGGGACCCCCATGGCCGCCAAGTAAAACCTAGTTTCAAGGGGGAAAAGGAGGGACCCTTGATGGGGACCCCTACCCTATAATGGGCTATACAATGGGTATATAATGGCTATATTAAGGGTCTATACCTAGGGGTCCTTATTAAGGGTTCCACCTTTTACCCTTGGATAGGTGAAGGCTCATGTGCAATCACGTACGGGTTTTAGGAGTTACAAGCCATCGCAAGCATTGCCACCCAAGTTTTCGAGCCGAGAATCGGCCCTTAGTTCGAACTTTTTCAAGAAAGCCTCCTCTTAAAACCCCTAAGCTCCCAAACCCCTAAGCTCCCAAACCCCTAAACCCTAAACCCTGAACCCTAAACCCCTAAACCTCTAACCCCTACACCCTAAGCCCTAAACCCCTAGACCCTAAACCCCTAAACTCCTCAACTCCTAAACCCCACAAGCCCCCCGGGCCGGAAGGCACCATTTTGTCGTGCTCGAGCTTTGCCCAGCCTTGGCTCTGGAGCTTTGGGATCGGTTTATGGCTTAAGGGATTTCGAGGTTGGGGGGTTTTGTGGGTTTGGGGTTTAAGGTTCAGGGGTTTTGAGGTTGGTGGGTTTGGGGTTTAGGGGATTTTGGAGTTGGGTTTTGTTTTCGGGGTTTGGGGTTTTGGAGTTAGGGGGTCTAGGGTTCAGGGTTGTGGGGTTTGGGAGTTAGGCTTTAGGGGTTTGGGGGTTTAGGGTTGAGGGTTTAGGGTTTAGGGTTGTGGTTTTGGACTGCTTGGGCTTTTGAGGCAAGGCTTCAGATGCCCAAACCCGGCAGGTCAGAAGGCTTCACGTTGAGGAGGCTCTTGAGCACCGACACAGAAATTCATCTGGGAGAAGCCTTAATCTCTAAAACCCTAAACCCTGATTCCTTTGAGAGAAACTTTAGCCCTAAACCCTAAAACCCCTAAACCCTAAAATTGCTTGAAAGAAACCTTAAGCCTAACCTCTAAAACCCTAAACCCGAAATCCATCCGAGAAGCTTTAACCCCAAACTCCTAAAAATCCCTTGAGGGAAGCTTTAACCCTAAACTCCTGAAAAACCCTTGAGGGAAGCTTTAACCCTAAACTCCTAAAAGTCCCTTGAGGGAAGCTTTAACCCCTTAGCCTCAACTAACCATTGATATTGGAGGAGCTAAGGAGCCAGGGGTGATCATAATCCCTACTTAATAAGGAGCTAAAGAGCAACCCTAAACCCTAAACCCCAAAATCCTAAACCCTAAACCCAAAACCCTAAACCCAAAACCCTAAAGCCTAAACCCCAAAACCCTAAGCCCAAAACCCTAAAGCCTAAAACCCTAAACCCTAAGCCCTAAACCCCCCAAACCCCAAAACCCTAAACCCCAAAACCATTGGTTAGTCAAGCCGGCCCTGGGCCCCTGCCGATGAGGTCATCCTCGGTGCCATCATCCTCCGAGCTGGGATTCTGCTTAGGGTTTAGGGTTTAGGGCTTTAGGGTTTTGGGTTTTGGGGTTTAGGGTTTTGGGGTTTTCTATACTGAACTTGGAACCCTAGCACAAATTATAATTTTAGCTGTTTCTTAGGATTATAATAACCAAAAATTAAAAATCATTTAAAAGTACCCCTAAGTTTAGGGTTCCTGCCAGGGTGCTGTAGGGTTCTACAATAGGGTTCGCTTCTCGGGCTCCTTTAAGGGGGTTTGGGCTTAGTAAGGTTTCATGGGACTTATTGGCCAGGGACATAAACACCGTAACAACACGGATTCTTACTTAGAACCCCAGTAGGGGTACCCATAACCGTATTTACAATACTAAGTTCCATGATCCTCCAAGCGCGAAGTTTCGGAGTGTATTACAGGTGCCTAAAACCCAGAGACTCCAATATCCCTTAATTAAGGAGTATTCCTTAAAATATAGTAGGATCCCTTTTATGATTTAAGGAATATTCCTTAATTAAGGGATATTGGAGTCTCTGGGAACCTAGGACTAAGGGATCATTACGCTTGGGAAAGTTTAAGCCTGAGGCCCTCTACTTGGAGGATCATGGGACTTAGGAAGTAAGGTTATAAGTACCTTAATTGGGGTTATAAGTAGTAAGTTTGGTTACCTTAGTGATAACCCCAGTTACTAAGTCCCATGATCCTTTAAGTAAGGAAGAGCTTCCGGTGGAAATTGGAAGTTGCAGCAGCAAAGAAAGGCGTCATAAACGAATCTGTGAGAGTTGTATCCCTGATTTCAGAAAACCTCCCCAAGAAGACTTCGGCCAGCAGCTGGACAGGCTGCAAGCCCCTAAGGCTCAAGGGCTTTCCTGAGGTCTCATCAGAGCTCCTGCCTTTGTTGCCACTGTCTTGAGACCCGTGTCTGTCTATGGATCCCTTCTTATATACATTAACCATGTGGCAGGGTTTTGTTTACAGGGCTGGCTGTTGGTGACTGGCACCATCGCTCCAAACCCGAAACTTCTTGTTCCGATGCGTTGGGACGTCCCGTAAACCCGAAACCCTAAATCCTGAACCCCGCACCATGAGACCTGACGGGGAGCTTCAGTATCAGAGCTACCTCCCATCTTAGTACCGGAGGCTGTCTAAATCGAGTAGGGTTGGTCGTATGACAGTGGTCTCATTACAACATGGAACTTTAAGGAACAACAGTTTCCGTAGCCTGGTGATTGTTCAGGCTGCTAAATTAGGTTCGGCGCCCTTTGGGGGGGGCGCTCAGAACCCTCAACCTTATATTATACCCCAAACCCTACAACCCTCAGAACACTCAACCTCATATTATACCCCAAACCCTACAAACCTCAGAACCCTCAACCTTATATTATACCCCAAACCCTACAACCCTCAGAACCCTCAACCTTATACTATACCCCAAACCCTACAAACCTCAGAACCCTCAACCTTATACTATACCCCAAACCCTACAAACCTCAGAACCCTCAACCTTATACTATACCCCAAACCCTACAAACCTCAGAACCCTCAACCTTATACTATACCCCAAACCCTACAAACCTCAGAACCCTCAACCTTATACTATACCCCAAACCCTACAAACCTCAGAACCCTCAACCTTATACTATACCCCAAACCCTACAAACCTCAGAACCCTCAACCTTATACTATACCCCAAACCCTACAAACCTCAGAACCCTCAACCTTATACTATACCCCAAACCCTACAACCCTATAGACCCTCAACCCCAGAACCCTGAAGCCCCAGGCTCTTCTCCCCAGAACCCTGAAGCCCCAACTCGAATTGAGCTAGGCCAGCAGTAGAAGCAATCCGTACGACGAATGTATAGGGAATCCCAGCACTACTTGGCCTTAATCCACTTTCCAACTTTATGGGCTTTGCTGTAAGAAAGCCTGCAGCTGAGTCCAGCTTTCAACCCTTACAGGAACCCTTATAGACCCCTTCTAGGAACCCTTAGAGGGATCCGCGTAGCTGACCCCAATAGACTTTTCAAGAAAAACTTCCACAACCCCTAAATCTCACTCAAAGCCAAAACTCACCCACTACAGATCCCTTAGCGGAATAAACTAACCCTGAACCGACCCTACACCCGAAACCCCCTACAGATCCCTTAAAGGGGTCCTTGTAGTTGACCATGAAGATGAGGGACTCGCCCTAACAAGTTCACGAGAAGCTCAAGACCCACGGAGGACAGCAAATGCGAGGCCGATTATGCTCTCTTGGATGTCCATGTATGCACTTCTATGTGTGTGTGTATATATATATATATATATATATATATTAGACACATGATAGTTGAACTTTTTATATACAGACATAGGTATAGATAGTTATAGAGACAGATATAGACATATACATATGATTACACACATACAGATACACGTTACTATAGATACAGAAACGTTTGTATTCATACATAGGTATAACTGCATGTGCCGTTTATGTACATGCATACAGTTACAGTATGCATGCCTAGCCATGCATCTGGAATGCATTGCATGCATGACTGTGCGCAATGGTTATCGAAAATGCATGATCGTGTACTGTGAATTACACAAGAGGCTGTCAAGTGTTATGTAGAGTTATGTAAAATAAAGCTACCCATGTGCAAGCGACCCTCTGGTACATAAGAAATCACGTCTAGAGTCTACACTTCGGGCATGTTCGGACAAGCATTCCGACTGTCAAAGCTGGAGAACGCAACACCGGTTGGCCTGGACAATTTCGAATGAAGATACATGATTGCTGTTTGATGTGCCTGCTGGGATTGCTTGAACATGACCGGCCTTCCGACAAAGTCAAGGCATGAGATGGAGGTTCGTGTTCTGTTGAACAGACGAGGGTTCGAGAAGTTCAGGGCCCTGGGATGGTTGAGGCGAGATCTTTGGATCCTCGCGAACGTCTCCCGACACGAGAATTCAGTGCTATAAGCCCTTATGACAACTCAAGGAACAACACCGACGCCAATGTCTACTCAAACTTGAGCCCTCCAGCTCGAGTCAACCCTATACTCTAGACCCTATGTCGATCCGGCACCTGAGGGGCAGGGGCGTGAGGATCGGATGGGGGTCCTCCAAAAAAGACAGGAAAGCCAAGAAGAATCCCACACACTAGGGTTTCGGGTTTAGGATTAGGGTCTAGGGTATAGGGTGTCTCCATGCGAATCCACTGGCACTCTCTCAGTTGCGTCAAGTGTAGTACAGCATTTGTTGACTTGCCCGCTCGCTGCAAGTGGCTCCAACTTGTTGTTGACAAGTGCCACGGCTGCCACAAGACAGCCGCAAAAACGTTAACCCAGAGACTTCAATATCCCTTATAGAACTAAAGAATATAGTCTAAATCATAGTGGGATCCCCAATACGATTTAAGGCATTTTCCTGAATTACGGGATATTGGAGTCTCTGGGTACATCCACGCAGCCCGACATTCTCTGGCAGGAAATGGTTGGACCCGCGAAAAAATGCACAGGCTACAAGTCAAAATCTGTGTACTAAGTGCGGTCTTGGTTGCCGGTTGATCGTCTTTAACTCTCCAACACACATCCCTGTTTAGCATGGGCTTGGATTGTGTGCCAGCGAACACTCCTCAACATCAGGGCCTTCTCGTTTGACGAGGGATGCAAACGCGGGGGTGAGAGAAACACGAGAAGTGAAGAAGCGTCGACGATCTCCTGAACTGTCTTCCGAACTTCCAACACACATCCCTAATTACCATACGTCGGAATGCTAAGGACACAAACCTCGCAGAACTCTGCAACCCTACGCAACCTCAGTTCTAGACATAAGCCCGGTCCCGCACAAAACATGCCACACCTGTGACATCATGGCCAGTCCAAATGGCCCGGCAAGTGCAGCAAATCAAAATGCTTCCCACCGTGACGGCTGAAGCTGACATCTTCAGTTTGTCGCAGAAATTTATGCAAAATTCTGCAATGTAAGCTCTTGCACTCACCCATTTGGGAACGCGGTGTTGCGATCATACCCCAAGCGATTGGTGCTTCGCCGCCACGGAACGTCTGGTTCATACAGGTCGAACAAGGGTTCACTTGTTGGACGACTCATAAAGATATAAATGGCACGGCAGCTCTACGACACGTGCCGGCAGGAAGTGCCCGAAACTGAACAAGACACTTCAATGCCAGCAAGTCTAGCAGCAATAATACATTTCTCTTATAGCAATCCCTAAGGGTCCATGTACTCATATAGTATATACATTGGTCTTAATGTAGTCCCCATATCGGGACTTTGGGGCTCATGTATCTCTATATGGGTACATGGACCCTTAGGGAATATTAAAGGCTAGACTTCAATTTCGGGAACTAGAATCTCCCGGCCATGCGTCTGGTGGGAACCGGTGTTTGGGACCCAGCCACATGGATTATACTTTGGATACTGCCCGCATACACTAACAGTCTATAATAGGGCTACTATTAAGGCCCGAATATATATCCATTATGAGAATATTATCCAACTCTTGCTGAGCGGGGGCCGTACTCAGATTATACTCATGTAGGGGCCTTCATAATTAGAATAGGGTTCCTTTTTAAAGGGATCCTTAAAAGGGGTCTATAAGGGATCTATAAGAGTACTATAATGTAGGGGCCTTCATAATTAGAATAGGGTTTGGGGCCCAGTATACTATAAAGGTATAGTAAGGAACACCCAGAATTGTACTGGTAATTTAGGCCCCTATATTATTAGTTGGAAACATGGAAAATGACCGGCACAGCACTCCATGCACTGGCCGGATATGCGATGAAGGGCGAGGCCAGGAGAGCACATGCGCCAAAGCCAGATCTGGCTTTGAGCTGCACGCTCCGAGACCATGCGCTGCCTCGTGACTTCTCCACTGCACAACTGTCCCATGCACTACGAAACACGAAATAAAGGCATTCCTCGACATAGTCCTGACTAAACCCTAAACCCTAAACCCAAAACCCTAAACCGAATAGTCCTGCCTAAACGGTCAACACATCTGCATGGGAAACCGAGCACCGAGCCGTAGCTCCGGCCTTGACTCTTCTTACCGCTGGTTAGTAGGGAATGGAGGAATGGGGTACAATTATAACTACTATAACTACCATTCCCTACTAACCAACGGTAAGTCTTGCCGGCAGCCAGAAGCCGACCTGGGCCTGCCCAGAGGCCCCATAGTAGTTCCTTTTTGGGATTACCGAAAAAGGATTCTAGATATGACCCCCCAAAAGGACTACTATGGGGCGTCTGGGTAGACTACCAAAGATTCGGGAAAAGACGATGCTGAAGACGAACTGTCCACTGAAGAGGTGCCTCTGGCTCCTTCAAACCCCGTGGTGTTGATGCCTTGCAGCCGCCTTCCTTGCTTTCTTCATCTCTGCAGTGATACGATTCCTCCTGCGGCGAATCTCATGCGGGAGGCAGACGTGGCAGTGCGTGCAATCGTCACCCTTGCGGCAGCCATCTCCTCTGCCTGAGAAGAAAAGGCAAGGAAAGCATTGGCCGTTGTTGTGTCGCTCAACCATGTGCAATGGAAATGGGCCCGAATGCGCACCGGCATGTTGCGGCACAAGTTTGAGCTCTTCCCATCCATCCTCGTTGCCGACACCCTTTTCCTCCCCTGTAATACGCTCGACATCGATCTGCTCCCGCGTCTGAACGTTCGGATATGTGTGCACCGGGTGGACGGCAAGCCCATTAAGCAGGGGCTCTGCCCAATGTGGCGTAAACTCCATCGCCTGTCTTTCCATCTCCTCAGCTGCCTTGCACATCGTAACGCCCACGACGGGCTCTGCGAGGTTGGGGTGAAAGATCGGAGTGCCACGAAGAATCGGCTCTGGCGCTTCTTGGCCCTCAGATGCACCGAAGCTCTCCGCTTCCTCCCCCTCCTTCTCGAAATCAAACCCACAGCTGGGGAGTACGGGCATGCTGCTGCTGCGACGCTGCCGGCTGGCAAGCTCAGCATTCTCGGTCACATCTGGGACAACCTCCACGAATGTCCGTGCCACCCGCACGACAAACTTCTGGTCCTGATCTGACTCGTGGTGCTTCTCTTTGAAGCTCGGCCCTGCCACAACAGCATCGCCCGGTGCGGACTTTTCCTTCTCCACTCGGAGGAACGGCGGTGGGGTCATCTGGCTTTCCAGCTCCTCCTCCGCGTCGGGCAAGATCGGCGTGCTAAGAAGCATGGGATCTGACTCCTTCTGGCTCGCAGATGCACCGAAGCTCTTCTCTTCCTCGCTCCCCTTCTCGAAATCAAGCCCGCAGCTGGGGAGGACGGGCATGCTGCTGCTGCGAAGCTGCAGGCTGGCACTCTCATCTGGGATGACCTCCAAGAATGTCCGTGCCGCCCGCAAGACAAACATCTGGTCCTGATCTGACTCGTGACGCTTCTCTTCGAAGCTCGGCTCTCCCAGAACAGCAAGTCCCGGTGCGGGCTCTGAAACGAGGTCCAAGCCCAAACTGGGGAGCGCCGGCATCGTGCGACTTCTTGTTTCCGGTGCTGCGCACATCTCAACGACTTCCAGGAACGTCCGGGTTACCCGCACCTGTGCGGTCTCCCAAGACGTGCTGGCGAGCGACATGGCGACAGTTTTGATACAGCAAAGGGAAAGTGGAAAGGACCCCTGACACCGCTGCAGCAGAGCTTCACATGTGGAAGTTTCCGAAAGTAGCGGACCCTAAATAGTAGGATCCTCATTATAAGGACCTCAACATAAGGTACCCCTAATTTTCGGAAACCCTAAACCCTTATTAGATCCCTTTAAAGGAAGCCCTTAGAGTACCCTTATAGTATCCCTTTAAAGGAGCCCTACAGGGAACTCCAGAAAGTTGGAATATGGTTTCATGGTAGGATACCCTATAATCTACCATAGAAGGGTTAGGATAATCTTATTCCAACTTTCCGGCTTTTACCTTAAGGTACCCCCTAATTTTCGGAAACTCCCCCATGTCTCACACGACTGGGCTCTCCTCTCTCCACGAAAGCACTGATACGGTTGATGATACAACTCCTGGGTTCCTTTAAAGGGATCTATAAGGGTACCTTTAAGGGATCTATAGGGTTTTAGGGTTTAGGGTGATGATATAAATCCTGCATGACCTGAAGGACCCAAAACTATGGGAACTATGGTATATTCCTTATTATGGGTAATGCAGGATTTATATCATCAACCGTAGGACTAGAACGCTAGCATGCAGGAAGGATAACCCTATACTTCCAGGGACCCAGTTATTGGGTCATCAAGGGGTCTAGGGCCCTAACTATGAGGTCCTTGGAAGCATAGGGTAATGGAAACGACATGAGTGACAACCGTCAGCAGAAGCACAACTTCTTCAAAGAGCTGCCTAAGCGTGTAGCAGCACTTGCTCGGTACCTTGCCGTCGACTCGAGTAACTACAGTTACAAGTACCTTAAGTGGAGTTATAACTACCTGTAGTTATAAGTATAGTTAACTTAATTATAACCGTAGTTACTAAGTCCCATGAATCTCTAAGTGCTGCTGCTAACTGTTGAAGACTTGTCCAACGAAGTTCAAATCCCGAGCCGTGAGGCCAGTCCTGTAGCCAACAGCGATGACCCTATTCCTAAGCTGTTGTTTCTGTCAGTTGGTCACAACGTGAGACTGTTGCAAAAAACACAAGTAAAATTCCCGTCCAAGAAGTGTGACATTTTAATGCAGAACTTGAAGCAGCGCCTCCTCGATGACCATTTCAGTCCTTGGCTCGTGAATTGCGATCCAGCATGTTTCGGCACCATGTTCCACTGTTTACCAGCCATGCAGCTTTGCAACTCCTGATCCAATTCACAATGCCAGCACAAAGAAAACAGCTCTTCTATATCGTAAAACTAGTGTTTTGTGAAAAGGGACGCAGAACCCTGCGAATCCCCTGCAAATCACAACGGCAGTTTCAGAAATTAGGCAAGGCTTAAATGAAACTGAACCCAAATCACAGGACTCTGCTGCCCCCCAAAAGAACGGCTTCGAGCTTAAAAGGAACCCAGGCAGTAAGATAGCAAATGTTCACCTTCAATTGCCGGGCGACGACTCGTCCCAGGTCGGAGTGTCACCTTCGTCGACGGCCCGCGTACGAAAGCTGGGCTCGTCGCGGCCCATGACCTCGCAGAGGCAGTACCTTAGCAGAAGTTGTTTTTGTTTTTCTTTTAAGCGCCTCTTTTCTAACCTGCAGCAGTTGGTTTAGGGTTCAGGGCTTCAAGTTCCTGGCCGTTCTGTCTGTACTGGCTGACATGGAAGCTGTTGTTCCGGTGGTTCGGGAGCTCCTAAATCCTAACCCTACTTTGAACTACCAATCCAATTTTTCGTCGGCTCTTCAGAAAACCCTAATATGGAAACTGGAATATGTGAAACGTAATTTTCGGGGGAGCCTATAACAAAGAGTAGATCTTGGCAGGTTAAGTTACAAGCTCAACTTGGGCTCTTCTTCTAAACCCCCATATGGGAGTTTCCGATAACAGGGGACCCGGATATAGTACCCTAGGATCCTTACTATTATAAGGATCCCAAAATCAGGTACGGAAACTCTAAACCCTTATAGAGCCCTTCAAAGGAACCCTTAACAGTACCCTTATAGTTACCCTTTCAAGGAACCCTTAACAGTACCCTTATAGTTACCCTTTAAAGGAACCCTGAGGCATTCATAGGGACTCTCCAGTCATGGTAGGTTAAGGTACAAGCACCAGGCTGGGTTGTAGTTTTGGGGAAAGGGTCTGAGGCGGGAGGTTATGGAATTGTTGGGGGTGTAACCTTCTTTGGAGAATACTTCTTAGGAGCTTCCGAGCAGAGCAATATACCCTATGCTTCCAAGGACCTTATAATTACCCAGAGGCCCCAGAGTAGTTCCTTTTGGGGATTACCTTGCAGGATTCTATATATGAACCCCATAAAGGAACTACTTTGGCGCCTATGGGTAGGGCCCTATCCCCTTAGGGACCCAATAATAAGGTCGCTGGAAGCACGGGGGATAGACGAGCCCTGTTTCTGGAGCATAGTTTCAAGACTCCTCTGTAGGATCAGTGCTTGAGCGGTAGCAGGGGTTTAGGGTTAAGGTTTAGGGTTAAACCCAAACCTAAACCCTAAACCCTGTCGAGCCAGATCAATACAAGGGGCCTTTATATATATATATATATATATATATATATATGGGCTTTGGGGTGCATTGTAGCGAACGCACGCTTAAGGCTGCAGGCGTAAGGGCATTTATCTAATACATGAATAGGTTCTTGTGGAACATCCGAGGGACGGCTGCACTGCGCCGCGAGCAAACCTGGTCGTGTGGTGACACCCAAGCTCTCGAAACAAGGCACAGAGAACTCGCAGGGAACCTTCCGAAACCAAACTCCAGCTAGGTGTCTATTTCACAAGCGTAGGATTAGAGACTCTCATAGACAACCGGTGAAAATCGGATCAGTAGGACGAAATTGGAGTAAGACCAGAGATGTTAGCTAGAAGCCGCCGTCAAGCAAGGAAAACACGCCGCAGAACAGTGACCTAGAGCATAACACCCTACACCCGAAAACGAGCCCTTACAGGACCCATTACAAAGCGGCCCTTGAAGGAACCCTTAAAGGATTCATTACAGGAACCTTTAAAGGAACCCTTACAAGGGACAGTTGCACCCTGTTGCAACCCTAGTGAAACCCCAGAAAAATTCCTGGCAAAACTTCATAAAGCCCTTGAGGTTTAGGGTTTGGGGTTTACGGCCCTTGACGGATGCCCAGGGGACCCCTTGAACGAACGACCCTCAGAGCCTAAACCCTTAACATGTCATTTTAACTGTATCGAACCGTGATGGCACCCGTCTAGAATTCTTACAACTTATAAACCTCTAAGCCCAAGCCCGGAAATTGCGCTTAAAGGAACCCCTTAACGCAGCCCTGAAAGGATCCTCTCAAACCCTGCAGTAGAGCCCTAGAAGCCTTTAATCCCTCGAGCATTCAACCTAACCACAAATCCTAAAACCAGCCCTGAAAGGAAGCCCCTGGAGGAAACCTGAAGGATTACAGCAACCTAAACCTATACCCTCAAACCTCAACCCTAAAGCCCTAAACCCTAAACTCTTAAACACCTAAACCCCTAAACCCTGAACCATCCTAAACCCTAAACTCCTGAACTCCTAAACCCTAAACCTTTGAAGGAACCCTCAAGTCGAAGAGGCAGCCGAGACGCAGCTCCGGCGCCACCTCGCGCAGGCCGCGGGCCGACAGGAGGCGGATCTGCAAAGCCACCTTTTTGCACCCTTGTCCTTTTAGAAAAAATAGACAGAGCCCTATACTTATAACCATCTTTTTTTGGGAATCTTTGGGTTTTGGCATGCCTAAAAAATCAAATCAGGTACTTTGGGTTTTGGTCTACAAGGTCTGGGGCCGTTTAGGGCTTGGGGCATCACCTTTTTGCACCCTTGTCCTTTTAGAAGACAGAGCCCTATACCTGTTCAGGGTTTAGGTTTTAGGGTTTACCTATATCCCTTAGTAGGAATTATTTAAGAAGGTCTACGAGCCGGTCTGTTTATTCGTTTGGGGGAACCATGAAAAAGGACAAGGCCAAATTTATATGGGAATCTTTTGGGTTTTGGTCTACAGGGTTTGGGGCGGTTTAGGGTTCGGGGCTTAGTTTGTTTTGTTTCTTGTTTTCCGGCTTGGCCTTTGGAAATCTATAGGGTTTGGAGTAAGAGGTTTAGAATTTAAGGTTATTGTGACTGTATGAAAGTCTTTGAACGTATCATAACGGTTCTACGAGTTCTATGGAAAAGTTTTACACTGTCTCTCTGAAGTTGTATGGTTCAAAGGTTCTGGGGTTTGAGCGCGAGGGGTGCTTTTGGACGATATAAATTAGATCTCTTGCCCAATTGTTAATGATCAAAGTTGGGCTAAGGCTGCTTCGCGATTAGTTTTGACAGGCTTCAACATCTCTCGAAAGGGCGTCCTGTGTCAAGGGTCAGCTCGGGTCACCGTGTGCATCGAAAGCTGTGCTTAGGAAGTTTCGAGTTCCTTCATAGACAGGCCTTAATGGTTACTAGGTTCCCTCTGTCCTCGTAAGAATAAGGGTACCCTTTTTCCCTGGTATTCAGTATCTCATAAGGGAACCTAAAATACAAAGGGTACTACTGAGCAGCTTGAATAAATTAGGTCTTTGGGGTAAATTCTCCCGAACCCTCAAGCCCTTATGAAAATCCAAACGTTCCCAAGCCCTGCACCCTAAGCCAATAAAACCCTTGAGTCCTAAAATCTAACTTTCAATAACCCTGAACCACCAAATTATGAGGCCTTAAAACTTGATCCATACCTGAACTGTAGACCCCACACTGTTACACCCTGAACCCTCAACCTTAAGCCCTAACACTGACGGGCAAACCTTCAGCCTTCAACTTTGCGCCTCAAACCGTCGAGCCCTGAAGTCTCAAACCCTATTAGATCTCAAACAAATCCCAAACCCTCAACCGTAAGGTTTAGGAGTTGTTTATATGGGTTAAGGGTTTATATGGGTAGTTGTCAAAATTATAAGGTGCCGTATTATGAATAGGACCCCCAAAAGGGACCCTAATTTTGACAACCACCCATATAAGGGTCTAGGGTCTTTCTGATCCAATGCACCCTTTGACCTCTGCCCGAATTGTCGAAGCGCTGCCCTGTTTGGCTTCGTTTGAGACTCAGGGCTCTTTTTTTTAATGGGCTCGGAATTCGGGTCCTAAACCCTCAACCTCTAGCTTCGTTTGAGACTTAGGGTTCTTCTAACGGGCTCGGAATTCGTTCCCTAAACCCTAAATCCTAAACCTCTGAAGTCTCGCCACCCATGACTGACCCTCAGAAGCCACAACCTCCCGAAACCCCGGCGGGGACCTGCCTGCGCCATGGCGGGCAATCCCGCCCAGCCGGGGAGCCCCTGCAAAAAGGGATTTCTGGTAAGGTGCCATAGGGTTCTGGCATAGGGGTTCCCTTTAAGGGCTTCTTTAAGGGGTTTACTGTTTAGGGGCTACTTCCAGGATCATGGGATGTAATAGTCGCATAGACAAACAAACACGTGCAAGCGGTCAACCGAGCTCTGTGCGTATAGTAGAAAAGTGGAGATAGAGGTTCAGGGGTCAGTAACTAGGGTTATAAACAAAGTAACGGTTTAGGGTTTAAGTTGGACGGTTTAGGGTTATAAAAAAGGTAACCATATTCATGCGTATTCATCACCCCAATTTGGGTAGTTATATCTGTACATACAAAGGCCCATGATCCCCCAAGTAATCCCCGATCGAACCCAATAGCGCAAAGCAGGGTGTCAGCGGGGAGGGCCTGCCTTACATGCTCCCCAGAGCCATGCAGGCCAACGAAGCCATGCCCCGCATCAATGCAGTCTATGCGACTTTAGGTACATCGTGGCTGAGAGGCTCATGTCCACAACTGTTCATGTGGGCTTCGTCGATTCAATCTGCTGATCTCGCTTCCATCGGTGACTTGTCTTTGACTACGACACTGAGTATGCTGGGCACTCTTCGCTGGACATCCACACTGGCCTGTGGTGAGCATTGTGCTAGGGGTCTGTTTGCGCTGCCGACGGCCCTACCAGGGGTCCAATCTGGATGATGGCTAGGAGACAACGTATTGGCCATACCCAAAACCCAGGGGCGTTTGAAAGTTAGCCCAAACGCAACACTTCACAACAATGATGTAACTTCGGATTCGAACCGAATAAGCACCAAAGCTGTTCGATCCAAACCCAGGAAACCAAACTTGAAATTTGAAACCATTCCCTAAACTCAAGCGACCTCCGAAATCCCAACACCCCCAAAATATGCACCATGTGGGTGGTTGTCAAAATGAGGGTCCCTTTCTGCGTACCTATTATGACACGGCACCTAATATTTAGGGTACCCCAAAAGGGGCCATAATTTTGACAACTACCCATGTATTCTCGAATTATACAGTTTGGGCACAACCAGTTCGTCGACGTTTGCGCTTACGCCACCCTAAACTCACAAAAGCTCAAGTCCAACATGACGAACCCCGACCCGAAACCCCAAAGCCTCTGCACCTGAAGCCCTAAGTTCTCAAACCCATAAAAGCTTAGTCCTGACATACCCAGAGCCTCCAAAACCCCGTAATTAGGGAATATACCTTAATTCATATCAGGGATCTTATTATAATTTTAAGGTATATTCCTTAATTAAGGGGTTTTGGAGGCTCTGGGTAGATGCTCAAGATCGCTACAACCCTAACTTCCAAATCCTTCCAAGTCCTGGAACCCTAATCCGGCTGAGACTTCAACCGGACAAAATACGGGAGTTTCCGGAAATTAGGGGTACCTTATTTGGGGGTCCTTATAATAAAGGTCCTACTATTTGGGATACTATACTAGGGCCCCTCTATATTCGGAAACTCCCATACTAGACGGCAGACAAAGGTTAAGGCACCCCAGATGTCTGCGAATCTAAGGTCGGGGGTTTCGGGTTTCGGGTTTAGGGTTTTGGGGTTTCGAGTTTTAGGCTCAGGGCAGGATGGGGCTTGAAGTGACGCGAGAAGATCGTCCGAGCACATTACGCCGAGTCCTGACCAGAATTAGGACTCGCACAAGCACTAATGCTAATACTACTACCTGCCGGTACTGCATGCTGCTACTGCTACCGCGGTATCGCTGCTGCGACTACAGCCACTGCCACTACCACTGCCGCTCACCTGTACCGCTACTGTACCGCTCCCACTGCGACGACGACGACGACGACTACGACTACGACTACGACGACGACGACGACGACTACTACTACTACTACTACCACTACTACTACTACTCGCAGAGGTTCAAAAACATCTGTCACCAAGATGCAACGTGCAGTCACAGGCAAGATTTGCTGTTCATCCTTCAGCTGGCCAGGTGACGATGCATCCATCATCAAGAACCGCAGCAAACATGCACTCAGAGGCTTGAAGCTGCTGCACATTCTTCAGCTGCCCTTCAACAGCACTACTGTCACCGCCACCACGAGCATCACCCCAGGTCAGCACAGAGCCATCACTAAGGATGGCAGCGAAAAGCACAGTAAGAAGCCTGGATCTGCTGCACATTCTTCAGCTTATGCTTCACAGCGGTACTGTGACCGCCGCTGTCAGCATTGCCCCAGGTCACGACGGATCCATCGAGAGGAATAGCAGCGAAAGCGGTCCGACTTGCTTGGATCTGCTGCACATGTCTGAGCTCACCCTGCACTGCTCTGCTGTCGCCACCACTGTCAGCATCACCCCAGGTCACCGCAGAGCCATCGTCAAGAATCGCAGCAAAAGCAGATGTGGTCCGCTGTACTTGCTGCACGTTCTTCAGCCGATGCTGCACAGCACGACTGTCACCACCGCAGTACAGTTCACCCCAGGTCACGACGGATCCATCGCCAAGAATGGCAGCAAAAGCGCGACTTGAGGCTTGGATCTGCTGCACGTTCTTCAGCTGATTCCGCACGGCACTACTGTCACCTCCATTCAGTGCAGAACCCCAAGTCACGACGGAACCGTCAGAAAGCATTGCAGCAAAAGCATGATCGTGTGCTTGGACCCGCTGCACGTTCTTCAGATGATGCTGCACAGTCACAGTGCTACTGTCACCACTCTGGGCGTTTCCCCAGGTCACGACCGATCCATCGCCCAGAATAGCAGCAAAAGAGTAAAGGGAGGCTTGGATCTGCTGCACGTTTTCAGCTGATCTTGCACAGCGCTGCTGTCACCACCCCAGCGAGCAGAGCCCCAGGTCACGACCGATCAGTAGAATGGCGGCAAAAGCGTAAAGGGCTGCTTGGATATGTTGCACATTCTTCAACCGCTCCTGTACTCTACGACTGTCGCCACCGCAGTGAGTTTCACCCCAGGTGATGACGGATCCATCACCAAGAATGGCGGCAAAAGCACGACTTGAGGCTTGGATCTGCTGCACATTCTTGAGTTGATCCTGCACAGTACTGCCACCAGGAGCCACCACTCCGGGGATGGGCAGTACTACCGAGCCGTCGGCCACAATGGTAGAGATTGGATTGAACTTGAACTCTATGGATGTGCAAGATCAACGAGTCGCCGTCCTGCACACTGGCATGCTTGACTGGCACAGATGCATCCAGAAGTTCGCCAAATGAATCCAGCAGCTGTCCCTTTCCGACTCCAAGCGCAGCCTGTGCTCGAAGTCTCAGTGCTCCCACCTCCTCATCTAAGCCAGCCTTCAGAGTGGCTGTTCTGCCGCTGAGCAGCCCAATTTCCAGAGTAATCGACATTGCCCACACCGCATAACGCAAGCTATGTAGAACCCTTAAAGCCCTTCAAAAGAACCGTTGTAGTAGCCCTTATATGGTAATTTAGTAACCTGTGACTTCATGGTCCCATAAAATCAAAACGCGAAACAGTGTAAAGAATAATAGGGTTTAGGGCTTGGGGTTGGATACCCTTAAGAAAACGATAGATCTACCTGGATGTTGAACTCTCTTCTCCAATAACCAGGCTCCAAAAAGTTCAGACTTTGTAAGATAGACCGACTACATAAAGCCAAAAAGTATAAAGTTCTCCAATTGGCTAAGTAAGTGAAAACCGCTTTCGCTTTACAGGCTCGTCTGGTCTCTGTCGGGTGATGGGGCCTCTCTGAGGCCCCGAATGTTTAGGGTTTAGGGTTTAGGGTTTAGGGGTTTAGGGGTTTAGGGGTTTAGGGGTTTAGGGGTTTAGGGGTTTAGGGTTTAGGGGTTTAGGGGTTTAGGGGTCTAGGGGTTTAGGGGTTTAGGGGTTTAGGGGTTTAGGGGTTTAGGGGTTTAGGGGTTTAGGGTTTAGGGTTTATGGGTTAGGGGTTTAAGGGTTTAGGGTTTAGGGTCCGAGGCCCCGAATAGCTGGAAACGAGCAGCCCATCAGCAGCAATGCAAGCACTGCAATGCAAAAAAACTTTACAGCCTCTTGCCAACTGCCACAAACTTGCGCGCATCTTCTCCCTCCTTTCTCTCTGCCGACTCAGTGAGGCCCCTCAAAACGGAAGAAGAGGCCATGTGAAAGGTTGCTCATCGCATGTGGGAATTCACGTGTGGTGTCCGGCTCGAGACCCTGAGAAAATGTCGCCCGGCATCAGTGTTGCCGAGTCTCAGGAGTTTGCAACGTTAATCTGTTGATGGTCGGGCTGTTGAACATTAGGATCGTCATTGCAGGCATGCTTCTGACTAAATCCGAAAATGACAAACACCACAATTCATGTTGCTGCGGCCAACTGCATGTGTCTTTTCTCCAGCCGGCTAAGATCAGAAGACCATATGCTATAGTTGTCACAACGAAACAGCAAAGAGCCTACCTTTGCCCACTAGCTGTTGTGCTGTGAATGCTTGAATCCTCACACACTTGCAAAAAGTTAAAGCTTTGGGGCAGCATCCACTGCTTCAGCCGTCCACTTTGCGGACAAGTGCAGTGGGAAGCTGCAACGCCCTCTGTCCTGCAGCTGCAAGTGTGCCATCATCGTACCCCTGAACACTAAACTACTCACGCCTGGTGCTCTATGGTTCTGCAAGTACGCCTCCCTCCACCTCGCACATCTTTGCAGCGGGCAAGACGACTGCAGAGGGCCAATGGATGGCTGATCTTTGAACCTCTAAAATCACTAGGCGAGATCCCCGAGTTGGACGCTCGCAGTAGTGAAGTGTTGTGTGAGAATGGGCTAGTACCTGTCTTGAGACGGTCTATAGGCCACGACTTAAGTACACAATGATTCTGCTAGGTCCTAGGTTTGGCAAAGGTGGCATAGGAAGGCTTCAGGGGTGCTGGTGGTGATACCAACACAAGCACAGATGGGTATAGTTGTCAACATTATGGCCCCCTTCTGGGTACGCTAAACATTAGGTGCCGTATCATAATAAGGACCCGAAG